AATTGCACTTCCTCGGAATGGAGCTGGACACCGCATCCGGAAGGTTCACTATCGGCCAGGAGAGAAAGGCGCAACTCACACAAGCACTACATGTGCTGCTTTTCGCCTACGAGCGCAACCAGCGGGTATCAATCCGCCTCGTCGCCCGCGTCACCGGCATCCTTGCATCCATGGCGCTCGCCCTTGGTGCGACGGCGCGCTCTTTTAGCCATCAACTTTTGACACTCATTAATGAGGCGCCATCATGGAATGCACGAGTGACCCTGACCTCGGAAGTTCGCGACGAGCTACAATTTTGGTCTGACCACTTCGACCATTTTAACGGGGCTCCTTTTCACATGCCCCACAGTCTGGACACGGTCATTCACGTCGACGCTAGCGCACACAGTTGGGGTGCAACCCTTTCATCCTTCCCCGGCGGAAGCTCGCAAGGAAGCAGCCCCATGCCAAAAGAACTTCTCTCCACATCGAGCACACGCCGAGAGCTCGAGGGAGTGCTATGGGCACTGCAGACGTTCAAGGACCAGATCCAAGGTCGCCGCGTACTCATGCGAGTAGACAACCAAGGCGTCTTCTTCATTCTGCGCAAAGGCGGCTCTCGCCAGCCTGAGCTCACTCTTCTGTGCAAGGCCATCGTCGCAATTTGCATGGCGCACGAAACCCGTCTGGCCATCGAATGGATTCCACGTGCTCTCAATACGCATGCAGATGCACTGTCCAAATTGGAAGACCACGACGACTACTCGCTCAAGCTCCCCTGGTTTCGATTATTGGAAAGGCGTTGGGGATCACACACCATCGACCTATTCGCCAATGCCAACAACGCACAGCTCCCGCGCTTCTGCGCTAAACATCCGCACCCACGTGCAACTGCCATAAATGCATTCTCGCTCGATTGGGGATTAGAGCACGGCTTCGCGTTCCCGCCGCCGAACCTCATCCCAGCGACCTTGCACCATGCCGCACGCACGAACGCCACGATGACACTAGTCGTTCCCGAATGGACAGGCGCTGCTTGGTGGCCCCTAATCAGACCTTCCCCACACACCTGGGCAATCGGCATCTCCTCCATCCTCTACCTTGCTAGTGGTAGTCAATGCTTGCATGTGGGCTCCCATGAACATGCATTCTCGGGTGCTGGTCTTCCAGTCAGTCGTATCTTAGCACTGAAAGTCAATTACAAACCTTGATGTACCATTCTTGTATCCTATGATTACAGATATGCTTCCAAGGTTGCATCACCAGCTACTTCTTATGACAGCCAAGACACGATCGGAATCAACAATCAACACATACGAACCGTACTGGGAGAAGTTTCGCAGCTTTTGCATGAAGGCCAAAGTGGATTTCTTGCCTGCCGCAGATCTCACGCTTGCACTCTACTTAGTGCACGCAATCAACCACCAGGCCACAGTCTCCAGCGTACAGCTCACATGCGCTGCAGTCAGCTTTGCCCATCGCATGACAGGGTCAGCCAACCCAGCGAACGGCCCGTTCACAACGCAAGTCCGAGAGTACGCCAAACGACACTGCCCTCGGCCTACACGAGTGAAAGAGCCCGTCTCCCTCCATCAAGTCCAGGCAATGGCGGGGCCTTTTCTCCAGTCACGCGAACCCGGCACCTACCAGAAGGGCCTCATCGTGCTGCTCATGTACTCGGCCTTCCTTCGCTTCTCGGACCTGGTGTCCATCCAGTGGGAGGACATCCAGTTCGAGGCTACGGCAATGTGGCTCCTAATTCCGCACTCCAAAACCGATCAGGAGAGCAAGGGCGTATGGGTCCCCGTTGCCGCGACTGACGGACCATTCTGCCCCGTGCGGTGCACCAGGCACTTCATCAAGCTGGCACAGTACGGGCCAAAGACCAAAGGCCCGTTAATTCGTATTTTTCGGCGCAAACTTCCCGCCATCCTCGCAGGATACCGCCCCATCATACCCCACTGTCCGCACGTGGTGCTTGCAGGCATTCCAAGCAGCCGGCATCGACCCTACAAACCTCGGCACCCATTCATTCCGCAAAGGGGCAGCAACAGTTGCAGCGAGTACGGGCATCCCGGACCGCCTTTTCAAAAGACTGGGGCGATGGCGGAGCGAAACCGCGAAGGACCTTTATGTCACCATCTCCCACGATCACCTCCTTGCTGCGTCGCGGCGCCTTCACGATCAGGCGCACGTTCCGTCCCCCTCGCAGCATGAGCGTGCCCTTACTCGACACCGCCAACAAGCACTCACCATGTCTCAGAAAACCCAGTTGAAATGAGACGTTGCATTTGCAAAGACAAATAGCAAGCTTTCACAATATGTAAATTTTTGAAAGTGTGTAACACTTTCTAAAATTGTGTATTGTGAATAGCGAAGATATTTGTACCGAAGCAAAATGCTTCGGCGAACCGCTACTTCCCCTCTTTTTCGGTATAAAAGAGGGGGCGAAGGCCATTTGGCCTTCACCCACGTTTTTCATTTCAAACTTTCAGTTTTCAAGTTCCCCACCCTCCCACCCTAGTATAGTAGAGAATTCATCGTTGTTACTATGTAATATGCTTGGACGATAAAAAATCTTGTACTTGCCAGTTGAAATGAGACGTTGCATTTGCCCAGTTGAAATGAGACGTTGCATTTGCAAAGACAAATAGCAAGCTTTCACAATCATGTCAATATGATCAACTCTCGCCCAATGCTCGACATTCTGTTCTGTTTGAATCAGCCGTGTGTAGTTAGCAGCATAGCATTTCTCTCGACACGACTACCGGTATCTGTCTGAATACTCTGATGTTGCACTGTACACAGCGTCTAATTGCACAGGATAGTTGGAAAGCTAGGTTGTGAGGATCGATTTGGCGCCACATGGACCATCTGTGGTGTTGGCGTGGGTCTATGTAGACCACCATTTCCGGAAGCACAACAATATTCATCTCACTATTTGCATCAGGATGCAGGAGGGGGAATACCGTAATCCCCCGTATATAAGACCCTAGGGTCTTATGATAATCACCCCTAAAAAAGCTGGAGGGTATAATGATATGGTATATTTTTTATAAGACCCGGGTCTTTTCATATAAACATTTATAAGAATGTAGTTTTGGAGCTCAAAGAAGTGATTTGGAATTGCTCCGTTTTTAGCTCCTCCCAAAAATACTCGAATTGGTCTCCACACGGGCCGAACCTACGTCATCACGAACGTATTTGAAAGCCTCCTCCCATTGGCCACAAACAGCACTTGGTGTTCACACGACAGCGAAGGGCACCGTTTGATGGCCCAGCGCGCAGTGTTTGCCTCGGCCTTCACACCCCATGCACGCTTCGTGCGGGCTGAAATATGACCATTTTCAATCGCATTTTTTGTAAAATCCGCACTTCCCTAGGATGTGGGGGGTCTTATAATGTTAGGAGTCATTTAGGGGGGTATAACTCAGATGTACTCGAATAGAGTACCCCCCTCCGTATTATAGACCCGGGGGTCTACAACTGGAGGGGGTCCTAGTAGATAACTCTACCGTCATCGCCCGGATATAAGACATATATGTCTTATCTCGTACACGGGCAAAAATGCTTGAGTTATCTTGTAAACGGGATGCTTTAGGGTGTCTTATAAATCTTATAAATGGAAACTTTTTAAACTACTTAGAAATATTTTCCGTACTTCTTGAAAAAGAGTTCCTCATAATGAGTGTGGATGTTGCGAAGGTGCCACTTCGGCAACCACTGCCCGGGACGCCACGTCATGGAGAACACCTGCAGAGGCAAATTTGGTAGGTCCTGGGTCAGCGCGTGGAGAAATTCGCGCTTCGCAAGGGTAAAAATGTACGCGTTATTTCAACTTTCGCTATAATATATTGAAGTTTCGATTATAAGACATATATGTCTTATCTCGTACACACAAATAGGTGTCTTATAATGAGGCTAGCCTGTTTATAAGAGACACCCGTATAATAGACAACCCCTGTCTACTATTCAACACTGTCTTATATCCGGGCGTTTACGGTACTCTGGGCTCTGATCACAATTACGGTACAGTAGCATCTGTTTTGTGGAGGTTAACCATGCGTCGTTGTGCAACTTGGTTATGTACTTGCGAAACCTGCTCTCAGTAACATACACTACGCAAACTGATTTAGAGATTATGCATCATGGCTCAAATTACAAGTACCGTACGACAATGGATCACGCCCAAACAGCAATAGCAAAGGTAGTGGCACGGCACACAGCTTGTAAGGGCAGTCACGACTCATGAGGTTCTGCGGGTACGAGGAGAGTGCACGAGCAAGACGGAGAGGCGAAGGTGCAAGCAATGCCGGAGGAAGAGTACGAGAGAGAAAGTGAGGGGATCGCAAAGAAAACATACTTGGGAAGTGATGAAGAATGACGAGGCCTCAATCATGACGGTGCATGGATGATGATGGTGCATGGATGATGATGGTGCATGGATGATGATGGTGCATGGATGATGATGGTGCATGGATGATGATGGTGCATGGATGATGATGGTGCATGGATGATGATGGTGCATGGATGATGATGGTGCATGGATGATGATGGTGCATGGATGATGATGGTGCATGGATGATGATGGTGCATGGATGATGATGGTGCATGGATGATGATGGTGCATGGATGATGATGGTGCATGGATGATGATGGTGCATGGATGATGATGGTGCATGGATGATGATGGTGCATGGATGATGATGGTGCATGGATGATGATGGTGCATGGATGATGATGGTGCATGGATGATGATGGTGCATGGATGATGATGGTGCATGGATGATGATGGTGCATGGATGATGATGGTGCATGGATGATGATGGTGCATGGATGATGATGGTGCATGGATGATGATGGTGCATGGATGATGATGGTGCATGGATGATGATGGTGTAGGGTTGAGCAAAAATCCGAACGCTTGTTCGGTTCGCCTCGAACATGTTCGAGGCGAACCGAACAGGCCTTTTTTTTTGCCTAAATTGTTCGGCCCGAACATGTTCGGTGTTTGGCCAAACATGTTCGGTGTTCGCCTCAGTCAAGAAAGCCCCCAAAGTCGAACACGAACTTGTTCGTGTTCGACTCGGGGGCTACGCGAACACCAAGGTGTTCGCGTCAATTTCGGCCGCGACCAATTTTAGGTCGCGGCCGATCTGAGTTTGGGCTATTTTTGCTAGCTCAAACTCAATCGCGTTTCTTTAGCTTAGCCACCCTACTACCACACACCCCCACCCCACCACCCTTGCATTCTTGGAGTTGTGGCCTTAGCTCTCCGTCACAACTAATCCTCCGAGAGATCTAAACTAGGGTTTCGTTGGTAGAGTCTACGTAGTCTAGGCTAGGTTTCAAGTTGTTCTTGTGGCAAGATCTTCAAGCAACACGTGGTCTAATCTGAGCCGTACGGTACAAATCACTCAATCTAAGAAGGCCACACGAAGTTCAGTACGTTCGCGTCCGTGCTACTACCCGCCAAAACCGCCCGTTGCCTCAGCCTGGGGTTTAGGGTTTTTGAGCCTAGGGCGGAGATATGGCTTCTGGACGAGGTGGAGCTGTAGCACGAGGTCCAAGTGGCGCTGGTAGCAGCGTACCAGGATCTCCACCACGTCCTATGGAGGGGCGGGTAGGGGATGGCCCTGGAGGAGCCGGCGCATGCTTTGTGGGAGGGTTGCTTTCCTTGGCGACGCCGACATCACGTCACACTTTCCGCTACGACGGCCCTCGACCCACTGCTAAGGGAAGACACAGCCGGAGAGTGGCAGTGGGGAGGAGGATGAGGAGGAGGAGGAGGAGGAGGGTGATGGCGATGACGATGAGGACGATGAGGGGAGTGGGGATGACAGTGAGGCAGGGTGGGACCCAGAGACGGATGGCGGTGGGGAGGGGGGAGAGGATGATGAAGACCACGAGATGGATGGGTTGGAGCCAGAGGGGCGGGAAGAGGAGGTGGGAGAGGGTGGTGGAGAGGCGGCAACGGAGGCGGGCTCACACCATGGGCGTGAAGGGGGTGGGAGCGTGGGGGTTGCTGTGGGGAAAAAGGCCGCGACCATTAGGCCGCCAAGGCGGGGGAAGAGGGTGAACAAGTTGAGGGAGCGGGCGTACCCCGCTACGTTCACAGGGGAGCCGTTGGGTGAGGGCGTGATCGCACCGGAGTTCCTAGACGAGGATGGAGAGTCAGAAAGTAGCAAGGGGTCGGGTAGCAGGAAACCGGGGTGGCAGGTTATGATGTTCGGACCAAAGGATGCAGACGAGAAGCGTCAGTGCAAGATTTGCACCGACAAGATCTCGTGGAAGCAGTCCACAACCACTCCCGGCGAGCGGCACTTCGCGAGCCACCTTACAGCGCATATGCCTGTGTGGCATCACCGTTACCACACCCCGTCCATTCAGTTGCCAGGCGAGACGTTTCCACGCGGGGGTTACAAAGGTGTTCCAGATGGCTACGTCGAAGCTTACCCGCATGCCAAAACGTGGCCTCATCTCGCGACCAAGACACCGCAGGCAGCAGTTGGAGATAAGAAGGGGGCGGGATTGAGCGGTTTATGACAAAGAAGCTGTCACAAGGGGAGCTCCGACGGGCGATCGCCAAGCTAGTGGTCACCTGCGACCTCCCCTTCCGCATCGTGGAGGCCGAGGCTGTAAGTGCCCTGTCCCATGGGGTGTTGTGGGAGGGTTAGGGAAAGGGTGAAAGTTTGCTTTGCTATTCCATTTATTGCGCTCGAGCGAGCCGGGGTTCTGCAGGAACCTATCAACGTCTTCTTTGCCCAGACAACGGTGTGTGTGTGTGACGGGTTCTCGCGACCGGGGTTGTGTGTGTGCGGGGGATACGTGTGCTGGCAATCCTTACCACCTAGACAAAGCACTGACAACACTGTGTGTGGTCATGTTTGTTGTGCGTTTTACAACCACACGCCACCCTCTCTAACCTAAGTTCCCTTGTGTCAACCATGCCTGTCCAAACCCACAAACCTACAGGGCTTGTCGGCGACTGACAAGAAGAAGGTCGAGAGCTTGCGCCTGACAGACGCAGATTGGGACACTCTGCATGCTGTCAAGGCACTCCTCAGTCCATTCGCCAGAGTCTCGAAGGCAGCGGAGGGGGCGGCGTACCCTACAGTGTCGATGGTGTTGCCGTACTACAACGGCCTGATCGACGCTTTGGAGGCGCGCCTTGCGAAGGGGCCATCGGCTGCGCTGAAGCCGATGATCGAGGCGGCGCTGGGGGTCCTGAAGAAGTGCGCGTACATGTCCTCCAACGAGCTGTGGATCGCCACCTTCTTGGATCCGTCCATGAAGGCGGCGTGGTTTGATGACGAGCACTGGGAGTCGCAGCATCCCGAGACCGAGCCGAGGGTGAGGCCGCGTCCCACTTCTAGCGAGGTGGTCCAGCTGGTACGCGATCGCGTGGCCGAGTACCAGGCCCGGGCTGCAGCGCTTGCCCCCCGGGCGCCCCCACTTGCCACCGTGACGGAGGAGGAGGAGGGTGACGCAGCGGATGACGACGAGGATGCGCAGTACATCCCTAGTCGCCGTCGCCTTGCAGCGCGTCTCTCAGCGAGCCAGCAGGCGGAGAGGGGTGGGATGCTACAGGATGACGAGGTTAGCAGGTACCTGTCGGAGCGGGTGCGGGAGGACGCGACGGCTCTGGAGTACTGGCGCACCGCCACCAACATGCAGACGCTCAGGCGCATGGCCCGAGACTATCTCGCGATCCCTGCCACGTCCGCATCGAGCGAGCGGGTGTTCTCCCTTGGCCGCAACGTCATTTCCTGGAAGCGGCACCGCCTGGCCTCCCAGAGAACGCGAGCTATCATGGTTCTCCGATCCTGGTACACCTCACACCCCGGCCAGAGGATAGGCGAGGGCCGCCGACAGAGGGGCGTCGCACCGCCAGAGATTGCCATTGAGGGCGAGGGGGCGGAGGACGATGACGAGGAGGAGGAGGAGGAGGAGGAGGAGGAGGAGGAGGAGGAGGAGGGAGAGGAGGAGGAGGAGGAGGAGGAGAGGAGGAGGAGGAGGAGGAGGAGGGGGAGGGTGGGGGATGCTGATGACACAGCGACTGGGGTGGAGCCTGCTGTTGGTAGTAGCAGTGGCGCGGCGTTAGCGTAGGGTTTTTATACATTATATAACTCTTGTTAGACAATGGGATGTTGTTTGTAGCACTGGGTCGGTTGCAGGACACTGGGGCACCATGCGAACCCTTTGTTTATCTCTCTGGCCCGAAAAAAACCCTTTCTGACAGGTGTGATTCTAGTGAATGTGATCAAAGGCGAACTCGAACATGTTCGGGTCGAACATGTTCGAGTTCGCCTCCGTGCTCAAAATGTTCGCCCCTTGGGCCGAACATCGAACACCATAGGCGGCCTAAATCGTTCGCCGAACCGAACAGTGTTCGGTTCGGCTGTTCGAGCTGTTCGACCAGGGACGAACTCGAACCTGTTCGAGTTCGGCCTTTGCTCAACCCTATGATGGTGCATGGATGATGATGGTGCATGGATGATGATGGTGCATGGATGATGATGGTGCATGGATGATGATGGTGCATGGATGATGATGGTGCATGGATGATGATGGTGCATGGATGGTGATGGTGCATGGATGATGTTGGTGCATGGATGGTGATGGTGCATGGAAGGTGATGGTGCATGGAAGGTGATGGTGCATGGATGATGATGGTGCATGGATGATGATGGTGCATGGATGATGATGGTGCATGGATGATGATGGTGCATGGATGATGATGGTGCATGGACGAGGGGCGTGGATGAGGAAGGGGCACGACTGAGGATGGGAGGGACATGGATGTCTTCATTCTTAGCTCAGCCACATCCTTCCATTCTTAGCTCAGCCACATCTTTCCCCAAAAGCATAAGCCAACAAGGCCAGTCTTCACTCCACTCATTCACCTCACCTCACTCGCTTTACCTCACCTCATCTCACTCGCTTCACCTCACCTCATCTCACCTCATCTCCTCTCACCTTACCTCAAATCATCCCATCTCACCTCACCTCAAACCATCTCATCTCACCTCACCTCAAATCACCTCATCTCATCTCTCTCATCTGCGTCCACCCTTTAATCTACTCGGAACACCAGTGAATCGCAAGCCAAGTGACCTGGGACAAGTCGAAGAACGAATCATCCTTGCAACTCCTTCCTGCATTGGCCTGCTCAACTCAAACTATCTTCCCCTCTTCCTGCACTCCCTGGCTCATTCCGTCCTCCTATTCCTTCCGTCTCCGACCGACAGTGCAATCCCACCCACAGCCGCCCCACTGCCACTCACAGCCCGCAGCCACCGTGGCACCCCTCATGCCCCCATCCCCACTCCCTGCACCAATCTCAACCGACGCAAATCCCAACCCCACTTGCCCTGCCCTGCCGTCCGCTGCCTCATCGATGCTCAAACCCTCTCTTCTACTCAGCCGTTGTCTGTTTCACTCACCATGCCGACTCCACTCAGCCTATAACTATTCCACTCACCCTATAACTATTCCACTCACCTCGTGCTTCTTCCACTCACTTTCGGTTCCCACTCACCCTCTGTTTCCACTCGGCCTCTATTCCCCTCGCATACGGTATTCCCCTCATCCCATGTCGCCTCGTCCCCCGCGCCTCCCTGCCCCTCCCCTGGCCGCGCCTCACCAGCAGCGGGGGTGCGCCTCACCTGCAGCGGGGGTGCGCCTCACCTGCAGCGGGGGTGCGCGCGTCACGCCTTGAGGCGGAAGGTGGTGGAGCGGATGACGTCATCGTCGCGGTTGAGGCGCTGCTGCAGATTCACCTGCGCTTCGGAGCGCGCGGCGAAGATAAACAGGAAAAAGATGCCGTCCAGGTAGCGGCTCATCACGCCGCCCATGTTCTTTGTCTTTATGCTATACGCCAACGGCTGCATGCCGCGGTTGAAGATCTCCACGTCCAGTGCGCCGCCCGCCACGAGAAACTGCACGTGCGGAACGTGGGGAGGGGGAGGGAGGAGGCGGAGCGGAAGGGGGAAGGATGCATGAGAGACGTGTGCTTGAGGGAGTGCCGATGCGGGTAGTGCGCAGAAGGGAAGTGCGCATGAGGGGAGTGCACATGAGGTCAGTGCACAGGGTGCGCATACACGGGGAAGAGTGAGCGGGAAGACAGGGAAGATTGCGAGAGCGAAGGGAGAGAAGCAAGAAACACGACACAGTCGGGGTTCGTACGAGCGAATGACCGACAGAGGGCCGGGACATGAAAGGCTAACACGGGCAGCGCAATGCGCGCACGGTCGCGCGACGGCGACGCACCTCGTCAAATCGTTCCGTCCCTGCGACGCTACTCGTCGCATCGTTCCGTCCCTGCGACGCACCTCGTCGCATCGTTCCGTCCCTGCGACGCACCTCGTCGCATCGTTCAATCCCTGCGACGCACCTCGTCGCATCGTCCAATCCCTGAGACGCACGTCATCGCATCTTTCCGTCCCTGCGACGCACCTCTTCGTATCGCTCGGTGAGCGCGACGCGTTCGTCCTCCGTGAGGTCGGGTGCGCGGCGAGTGTGCCGGCGGCCCTCCTTTGACGTACGCGCAGCGGCACGACGTACGCGCAGCGGCACGAGTGCGGCGCGCCTTAAGGAGTGTGCGACGGGCTGAGGCAGGCCGGCGGCCGGCACGGCTGCCGCCACCACGGGAACGTGCATGGAAAGAGTACCCGCCATTTCAGGGATGGGTGGTGGTGAGGCGCTACGCGAAAGGAGAATAGTTTGATGGTGGTCGCGAGAGAACAGGTGGAGGAATGATGAGAGGGAGGGAAAAAGGGAGAGGGGATAGCGGAGGGTGCGCGCAGGGGGGCAGTGCACGGGGGGAAAGGGGGAGGGAAGGTGCGTAGATAAAGGGGGAGCCGCGCGGTGGGGGACGCCCTTGACAATACCGCCGCTCCTAATAGGTGGGGGGGAAGCTGCGCTGTACAAAGACTCGGTAACGCAGCTACAACTGCGAATGTCACTGCATTTTTAACTTGTTTCATCCCAGAAAAACAGGGACTGTCCCCAAAAAAAAAGTTTGCCCTTTTGAATTCCTGAAGACGAATACTACGTATCAATTTCCAACAATTTGCCACAAGCTGGAAATAAACGATTCCTTATGCGTTCCTATTGACATTGTTGAGGGTAAGCTTGCTGACGAAGCTGCACTAACAGAAGAAACTCCCTCTGTCTCTACACACATTAGTTGGCACTGCTATGGTACTGGATTGTATGTGGAAGGAGCTTGTGGTTGTGCGGCACTCGCTGCTGCTGTCACTGCTGGGTTGGCGCTGCCGCTGCTGCTCCCACAGATGGCACTCCTGCTGCTGGTAATGTAGAGCCTGTACTTACTGCTGTGCCTGCTGCTGGCGATGGATTCGCGGGGCGTGCCTGGGAGTCACCTGATACTTCTGCTGAGCCCACCACTGGCACCGTTGCGTGTGCTCCTGTGATCGGTGCTGCTATTGCTGCTGTGGTTGGTGCTGCTGTGACTGGTGCTGCTGTGGTTGGTGCTGCTGTGGTCGGTGCTGCTGTGGTTGGTGCTGCTGTGGTTGGTGCTGCTGTGGTCGGTGCTGCTGTGGTTGGTGCTGCTGTGGTCGGTGCTGCTGTGGTTGGTGCTGCTGTGGTTGGTGCTGCTGTGGTCGGTGCTGCTGTGATTGGTGCTGCTGTGATTGGTGCTGCTGTGATCGGTGCTGCTGTGATTGGTGCTCCTGTGGTTGGTGCTGCTGTGATTGGTGCTGCTGTGATTGGTGCTGCTGTGATTGGTGCTCCTGTGGTTGGTGCTGCTGTGACTGGTGCCGTTGTGGTTGGTGCTGCTGTGACTGGTGCCGTTGTGGTTGGTGCTGCTGTGACTGGTGCCGTTGTGGTTGGTGCTGCTGTGACTGGTGCCGTTGTGGTTGGTGCTGCTGTGACTGGTGCTGCTGTGGTTGGTGCTGCTGTGGTTGGTGCTGCTGTGGTTGGTGCTGCTGTGGTTGGTGCTGCTGTGGTCGGTGCTGCTGTGGTTGGTGCTGCTGTGGTTGGTGCTGCTGTGGATGGTGCTGCTGTGGTTGGTGCTGCTGTGGTCGGTGCTGCTGTGATTGGTGCTGCTGTGATTGGTGCTGCTGTGATCGGTGCTGCTGTGATTGGTGCTCCTGTGGTTGGTGCTGCTGTGATTGGTGCTGCTGTGATTGGTGCTGCTGTGATTGGTGCTCCTGTGGTTGGTGCTGCTGTGACTGGTGCCGTTGTGGTTGGTGCTGCTGTGACTGGTGCCGTTGTGGTTGGTGCTGCTGTGACTGGTGCCGTTGTGGTTGGTGCTGCTGTGACTGGTGCCGTTGTGGTTGGTGCTGCTGTGACTGGTGCTGCTGTGGTTGGTGCTGCTGTGGTTGGTGCTGCTGTGGTTGGTGCTGCTGTGGTTGGTGCTGCTGTGGTCGGTTCTGCTGTGGTTGGTGCTGCTGTGGTTGGTGCTGCTGTGGTTGGTGCTGCTGTGGTTGGTGCTGCTGTGGTCGGTGCTGCTGTGATTGGTGCTGCTGTGATTGGTGCTGCTGTGATCGGTGCTGCTGTGATTGGTGCTCCTGTGGTTGGTGCTGCTGTGATTGGTGCTGCTGTGATTGGTGCTGCTGTGATTGGTGCTCCTGTGGTTGGTGCTGCTGTGACTGGTGCCGTTGTGGTTGGTGCTGCTGTGACTGGTGCCGTTGTGGTTGGTGCTGCTGTGACTGGTGCTGTTGTGGTTGGTGCTGCTGTGACTGGTGCCGTTGTGGTTGGTGCTGCTGTGACTGGTGCCGTTGTGGTTGGTGCTGCTGTGACTGGTGCCGTTGTGGTTGGTGCTGCTGTGACTGGTGCCGTTGTGGTTGGTGCTGCTGTGACTGGTGCCGTTGTGGTTGGTGCTGCTGTGACTGGTGCCGTTGTGGTTGGTGCTGCTGTGGCCGGTGCCGTTGTGGTTGGTGCTGCTGTGGCCGGTGCCGTTGTGGTTGGTGCTGCTGTGGCCGGTGCCGTTGTGGTTGGTGCTGCTGTGGCCGGTGCCGTTGTGGTTGGTGCTGCTGTGGCCGGTGCCGTTGTGGTTGGTGCTGCTGTGGCCGGTGCCGTTGTGGTTGGTGCTGCTGTGGCCGGTGCCGTTGTGGTTGGTGCTCCGATGCCCGATGAAGCTGCATGTGGCTGCAGTGAGTGTGGCTGCTGTGGGTGTGTGTGCTGTGGGTGTGTGTGCTGCGAGTGCAATTGCGTGCCATTCTGCAGCACCACATGTCGTGTGTGTGCTGCTACTCCTCCTGCCGTCTCGCCCCCTCCAACTCCTACTGCTTTAGCACTTTCCACACCAGGCACACCTGCCGTGCCTGCTCCTGCCACACCTGCGCAGCCAGCAGCAACACCACCACCAGCAGGAATAGCAGCAGCACCACCTGTAGCAGCAGGATTCACAGCACTCGCGCCAGGACTAGCAGCAGTAGTGGCAACAGAACTGGCAGCAGCACTGGCAGCAGTAGCAGCAGGACGAGCAGGAATTGAAGCAGTGGCAGCAAGGGCTGTGTGTGGCAGTGCAGGTGCACGTGACACCGTGGGGTGCATGGAGGTCTGCCCACTTGCTGCATGAACCATGTCTGCCACTGATGCCCCTCCCATGCCTTGCCTCACCACGCCTTGCCTTGAGACTGTTTGGCTTGCCAGTGCTTGGCTCGGTACTGCTCGGCTTGGCATTGCTTGGCTCGGTACTGCTTGGCTCGGTACTGCTTGCCTCGGTACTGCTTGGCTCGGTACTGCTTGGCTCGGTACTGCTTGGCTCGGTACTGCTTGGCTCGGTACTGCTTGGCTCGGTACTGCTCGGCTCGGTATTGCTTGGCTGAGTACTGCTTGGCTCGGTACTGCTCGGCTCGGTATTGCTTGGCTCGGCAGTGCTTGGCTCTGTACTGCTTGGCTCTGCACTGTTTGGCTCGGCAAGACTTGCTGTGGCCTTGCCTGTGCAGGAGTAAATCCTCTTCCTGCACCTGCTGCTCTGTGTGGCACTGCTTTCACCGCACCTGCTGTTGTGTGTGTTGCTGATCCCGCTTGTGTCGCTGCTGCTGCTGCTGCTGCTGTGCTGCTGCTGCTGCTGCTGCTGCTGCTGCTGCTGCTGCTGCTGCTGTTGCAGCTGCCACTGGTGCCGGGCCCCCTGTGCGCACCACTCCTGTGACTGGCGCGCCCCTGCCTCTGCCCACCCCTCCTGCACTCGCCACATGACTGCTGCTTCCACGGCCCAGGGGCGACTGGGAGGAGGCGACAGCAGGCAGCTGGGAGGAGGGGACAGCAGAGGCCACTGGCACAGTTCGGTTGCCAGTGGCCGGAGCAGCAGTGGCAGGCACGGCAGCAGTGGCCGGAGCAGCAGTGGCAGGCACAGCAGCAGTGGCCGGGGCAGCAGTAGCAGGCACGGCAGCAGTGGCCGGGGCAGCAGTAGCAGGCACGGCAGCAGTGGCCGGGGCAGCAGTGGCAGGCACGGCAGCAGTGGCCGGGGCAGCAGTGGCAGGCAGGGCAGCAGGTGCACAGACGGTGGCAGTGGCAGGCACGGCGGTACTGGAAGGCACAGCGGTAACGGGAGGTGGGGGCAAAGACGAGGGCGGAGGGGCGGAGGAGGCAGGGAGTGTGGCAGGAGCATGGGCGGGGGCGGAATGAGGCACGGCACCCACCGCCTGTGCTGTGTGGAGTGATGGAGGGGTAGGGAGAGATGGGGGAGCGGGGAGAGAGGGGGGAGTGGGCAGGGACGAGAGACCTGGCAAGCATTGACTTGGAGCAGCAGGGAGGGTGGCCGGCACAAGAGGTGACGTGGCAGGCACAGCACGTGGGTGTGGTACAGATGGAGACACAGATGGAGCAAAGCCGCTGGCAGGCTGAGAATGCCTGCTCCCATGGGTGCTGGTGCTGCTGCTGCTGCTGCGGCTGCTGCTGGTGTGGCTGTTGTTGTTGCCTCTGCTGCTGCTGTTGCTGCTGCTGCTGCTGCTTCTGCTGCTGCTGGTGCTGCTGCTGCTGTTGCTGCTGCTGTTGTTGTTGCTGCTGCTGTTGCTGTTGATGCTGCAGCTGCCGTTGTTGCTGCTGCTGCTGTCCCTGCTGCTGCTGCTGCTGCTGCTGCTGCTGCTGCTGCTGCTGTGGTCGCATGGCTGGCCCTCGGTGCTGCTGCTGCACCCGAGTGTGACCTCTGACATTGCTGGGGCGAAAAAGGCAGACACACATAGCCAGAGGGAGAAAATTAGTGGTGGTGGGTAATGATTCAAAAAAGAGGTGCATGGTGCCCAAGGACCAAAGAGTATCGATATCTGGTGTGAGAATCACATGACATACAACACACCAGTGTTAACAGTAAACCATGGCACTATGACAGGGAAAACCATGGACTCATATCATACCTGAGAGGCGCTGCCGCTTTGCTGCCCGGCGATTCAATCCCTGCCACCTCCGCACCCCTTCCCCTGCCCCCCTGCACATTCCCACCACCCCCCCGACCTGCACTGCCACCGGCGATGCGACCCCCTGCGCCCCCCACGGACGCTGCCAGTCCCTTGGCCCCGCCTGCAGCAGCAGGTGCCCTTGGGGGGGCATGTGACGGGGTGGTTGCGGTGAGGGGCGCGTGGGGTGTGGACGAATGGGGAAGAGCAGAGGCATGTGGGTGCACATGTGCAGGGGAGTTGGGGAATGGCAGAGCTGACTGCTGCATGTGGGCGTGCATGTGAGGGTGGGCGTGAGGATGGGTGCGCGCATGGGAGTATGTATGGCTGTATGTGTGTGCATGGGGATGTGGGTGGGTGTGTGGGGGCACATAGGCATGAGGCACCCCATGGGGAGACGAGCGGCCATGGCCATGCATGGAGGCTTGTGTCATGCTCCCACCATGACTGTGTGCCATGCCCGTCTGGTTACCATGTGCCATGCCCGTCTGGTTACCATGTGCCATGCCCGTCTGGTTACCATGTGCCACGGCCGTCTGGTTTCCATGTGCTACGGCCGTCTGGTTACCATGTGCCATGGCCATCTGGTTACCATGTCCCACGGCCGTCTGATTACCAATTCCCATGGCCGTCTGGTTACCATACGGAGCAGCGGCAATGGGAGCGGCTGCAGCAGATGCAGTGTGGAGAGTGGAAGACGCATGGAGGGCGGAGGCGGAGGCAGCAGGTGGCAGCGGGGCGGAGGGAGAAGCAGAGTGTGCAGTGGCAGTGCCTGTGCGTGCAGGAGTCAATGCAGCAGGTGCGGATGAGGGTATGGCAGAAGAAGCAGTGGCAACAGGAGAGACTTGCATGGGGGCGGGGGAGGCTTGGGGGATGGGTCCCGTGACAGGAGGAGGGGTGGTGGTGGAGAGTGAGGGCGAGGAGGCAATGGGCATGGAGTGGGGGAGTGGGAGAGTGGGAGGGGGAGTGGGTCTCCTGGGGAGGGGAGGGGTGTGGGGAGAAGGTGAAGGGGATTGGAAGGCGGGGTGAGGGAGCGTAGGGGAGAAGGAGGGGAAGTGTGGCAATGATGGGAGGGAAGTGTGAGAGGAGAGCGAGTGAGGGGCCATGTGGGCCTGGGATTGGGTTGATGCTGAGACGTGGTTCCCAGATGCTGCTGTTGCCACTGCTGCACCGCTCGCCCCCTCTGCAGCACCACTGCCAGCCCCTGCTGCTGCTGCTGCTGCCCGTGCTGCTGTCGCAGTGGTGGTGACAGCTGCTGGCAGTGTGGCTCCCAAGGCGGCATGTGTGGCTCCCAAGGCGGCATGTGTGGCTCCCAAGGCGGCATGTGTGGCAGCAGCAGCAGTAGTGGGAGCGAGCGTGGGTGCGTCGACTGGTGGGAGCGGGGGGCTGCTGCTGAGATCCAAGGGGCTGTGGCACCACACAGGGAGCACAAGGGGTGGGCGCAGGAAAGGCGAAAGGGAGGTTGTTTTAAACGGCGGTGATGGGGGTATGATGGAGGGAATGGGTAGGAGGAAGTGGAGAGGGGGGCATGGGGAAGGGAGTGGGGAGTGGTAAGGGGGATGGTAGCAGGAGGAGAGAGTGGAGTGGAGTGACAGTGGCAGGAGAATATGGTAACTATCAGCGGCTATAGATGGGAGCACAGGAAAGTGCGCTACCATTTGAACGTACCTGAGAGGCACAGGAGGGTGGGTGACGTGTCACACACACCTGGGCGGCATGGGAGCGGAGGGCGAGGAGGCAGCGACGTTGGAGAGGACGAGGAGGTGCGAGGCGTGTGGCTGCACCTGCTGCTTCAACTCCTGTGCCTCCAACTGCTCCCCCACGCATGTGCATGCACATGCCAACACAGACACACACGCACGCGCGCGCCCGCAACACACACACATGGACACCCCGGCACAGACATGAAAATGACACAGAGTGAGTGTACAATCACAGTCAGCATGCACTAAAAACGCTTTCTAAAGTGCAGCTTGCCTAACTTTCTATGGTTGACTCACGGCCAGCATACGAGCATGGTGTTTGGAGAAAATGGTTAGCACCGCGTGGCGATGCTCCCTCAGCACGTCCTCCTCGCCCCCCACCAGGTCCTCGTCGCCCCCCACCCACTGTCCCCCGCCACGTCCCGCCTCCTGCCACCCCACGGTCCACCCACACAGCGCAACAGAGGGCGGGGTGACTTGACACTTCACAGAATGCTGCAGTACGCTCTGAAATTCAGGGTGGCACGAGAGGGGGGCTGAAAAGTGCAATGAGCGAGCGGTGCAGGAGAAGGGGAAAGGGCGGGATGGGAAGGGTGGAGATGCGACCGACCTTGGAGGGCGTGGAGGAGGGTATGGGAGGCGAGGAGAGGAGGGCGGTGTGCCGGCGCTCACACTGACTGGGACTGCGATACACGCCCTGGTGATGGGTGCATGACCACACATGATGGCAGCAGATAGTGCACACAGAACAGCATAAGAGTCACAGTGCTGTGTTCCCACAGTCGTGTATGATAAAAGAAACAAAACAAAAACAGCAACGCCTAGGCCAGGACGAGCCCGCATGCAGAGGGAAGGCTCACAGTGAGGTGCGTGATGGAGAGGGCGGGCTCACAGTGAGGTGTGTGATGGAGAGCAGCACATCTGTGACCAGGCGCCAGTTGGTGCCCAGGTCGCTCACCACTGCCACCAGCACCTGACAGCGGGGCACACAAGGGGAGGAGAGAGGTGTTGCGATTAAGAAACTATGGGCGAGCGGTGCGTGGGGTGGAGCGAGGGAGGATAACAGTTGCGTGTGACGACACGGCCATGGCATGCACGCACCTGCTCCTCCATGGGAGACCATGGCAGGGCGTCATCAGCTCCATCAGCATCATCAGCCGCGTCGCTGCCAGGTGCGCGTGCAGCAGCGAGGTCAGTGCTGCCTGGGGACCCGCCCAGCACGTCCCCGTGGGCGGGCGGCAGAGGCAAAGCGCCTGCTGCCTCTGCTTGCAAGGGTGTGGCGGCGAGCGGCAGGGCATGCGCTCCTGGAGGTGAGGGCAGATGGTGGGGGGACTGGAGAGAGGGAGGGGCAGCGAGGGGTGTGGCAGAAATTAGAGAGAGTTTGAATGTGGGAGAAAAGTAAGGGCTAAACTGAGAGCATTAACGTGAGAGGGAGTTACTGTTGAGAAACAACTGAAGCCACAGTTGTGCGCATCACCTAGAATGCCCCCCTGCCTGCTGCCACTCACCGACTGTCGCTTGCTGCCTTTCTTCTTCACCTCCCTGCCCATGCCACTCGCCACCACGTCCCTCCTCCCGCCCACCTCGCCCCCAGCCCGCCCCATGCCTTCCGCCCACGCCTCCCCATCCCTCCCATCCGTCTCCACCCTCCCCACTTCACCCCCCTCTGCCTGCCCCTGCTTCCTCGCCCCAGCAAGCACGTGGGTGTGCGGGTACAGGGGGGTTGTTATTGCAGCAGACTGAGAGCCAGCGGCTGGGGGGAAGGGGGAGGGAGAAGAGGGATAGCATGGGGTTGGGCAGTCGTTGGGGAGAGATTGGGAAGAGGTTGGGAAGAGGTTGGAAAGAGGTTGGGGAGAGGTTGGGAAGAGGTTGGGGAGTACTTGGGAAGAGGTTGGGGAGGTTGGGGAGAGGTTGGGGAGAGGTTGGGAAGAGGTTGGGAAGAGGTTGGGAAGAGGTTGGAAAGAGGTGGGGAAGAAACTGGGGAGAGGTTCGGAGAGGTTGCGGACGGGAGGTGAACAACAGTGTAGGACTTCACAGGTGAGCAAAGGCCTTGTTCTGGCAACGGCAACAGTGCGGTGGCAGGTGAAGATGTCGAAGGAGTGGCAAGCAGAATGGAGAGAGCATCGCTGAGGAGCAGTCGTGTGACATGCAGAGAGTGCAGAGAGTGACTCCCAGCACCACCCACCTGCCATTTCACCGGTGGCCAGTGCTGCGCCATCAGCAGCAGCAGCAGCGTCAGAGGAAGCAGAAGCAGCCGGGCGAGGAGGGAGGGCGGGGCTGGCATAGGACGCACATGTGACCTTTGGGGAAGCCGGGGGGTTCTTGGGCTTGCGGTGTGCGGATGGGCGCTGGCGGTGCTGTGAGGGATGGCGAGCACACGGGGCAGATAGGAATGCAGGGCAGAGGGGAACGAGATGGATGGTAGAGGGGAATGGATGGTAGAGGGAAATGGATGGTAGAGGGGAAAGGATGGCAGAGGAATATGCAGGGCGGGACATGCACGTCATGGCCCACACACACACCACATGCACGCCATGGTCCACACACATACCACATGCACGCCACGGCCCACACACATACCACATGCACGTCATGGCCCACACACACACCACATGCACGTCATGGTTCACACACACACCACAGCAGAGCGCTTGACTTTACCTTGCCAGCCACAGCAGCAGCATCCCCTGCTGCTGTTGTTGCCGTCGCTGCTCCCACTGCTGGGCTGCACACAATGCCTCCCTCACCCCCACTACCCATGCGTTGCTGCTCCGCGCCCCCCTCCACCTCTCCCTCGCCTCTCCCACCCGCCACGTCATGGGAAGAGCGGTCAGCGGAGGCAGACGCAGCCAACATGCCACCATCCTTGCTGCCCGCCTTCCCTGCCCCTCCCCCTGCTGCTCCTGCGGCTGATGCAACCTCCCTTGCACCCACCCCCTGCCCTTGCTTCCCACCCAATGCGCCCTGCTGCAACGCCCCTTCCCCTTCAGCATCAGCGCCCCCTCTCTCCCCCACTCCCAATGCCTTCCCCTTCTGCCCGCGCCCCTCCCCCTGCTGCTTCCCCTTGCCCCCCCTCCCCATGCCACCCACCTTCGTCCCACCCAGGCCCCTCCCTGCCCCTGCTCCACGTCCTCGCCCCTCGCCCCCTCCCTTTGCCCCCATACCTTTCATACCTTGCCCTCTGCCCAGCCCTCCTCTGCCCAACCCCCCTCTGCCCACGCCTGTACTCCCTACTTGCTGTGTCACCTCACCTACCCCCCCTTTACCACTGACCTGCCCCTGCTGCGCCTTTCCCCCCTCCTGTGCCCCCTCTGCCCGCAACCCCCCCATTCCCTGCATCCCTGCACCCGCCCCTTCGTCCCCCACCCTTGCAACACTCACCCCACCTTTCTCCCCACCCTCCCCATCTCCTGCCATTGACCCATGCTGCCCTGCACCCCCTGCCGCCTGCCCTGCCTGCTGCTGCCCCGCCACTGGCCTCGCACTCGCCTCACCAGAGTCCCCATCGCTCCCCCTCACCTCAATCCACCCCTCCGCCACCCCCTCTCTCTCCCCACGCAACCCCTCTCCCCCTGTCTCGCCCTCCTTGCGCTGCTGCAGGTGTGTGAGGGGCCGCTGCCTCACCGGCACCTGCTTCTTCCCCTGCTGCCTCGCCACTCCCTGTTGCCCCTTGTGCCCCGCCGCACTCACACCCCCCTGCTGCTGCTTCTGCCCCTGCACCCCCACTGCCACCGCTCTCTCGAGCACCCCCTCCTCGCCCTCTCTTGTGCCGCTCACTCCCCCCACCACCTCTTGCCCGCCTGCCCTCTCCCCATCCGCCCTCCCCTTGTCCTCTCCCCCTTTCTCCGTTCCCCCACCAAAATACCCCTCTTCCTTCACAGGTACCCCTGCCCCCCCGCCCATCCCCACTAGGCCATCCAAAAACGAAGTAGGCCTCCCAGCAGAGGGGGCGGTGGCAGCAGGGGGGGGTGAGGCGGAGGGAGGGTGGATGGAGATAGAGGGATGGGAATGGGATGCGAGGTGTGGGGAGGGGGACGGATGGAGTGAGGGAAGGGGGTGAGAGGGGGAGGGAGAGAGGAGAAAGTCTGGGAGGAGGAGGGGGAATGGGTCGGGGGAAGAGGCAGGGGGGAGTGTCATATGGTCCTGTGAAGAGGGGGGTAAAGAGGGGGGCCAGCAGGAAAAGAGGGTTGAAGGCAGCAGGAGAAATCGGGGAGGTGGATAGGGGCGAGGACTAGGTCTGGGGAGTGTGGGTTGAGGCAGGAGAGCGAGGCGAGAGTAGGAACGAGGGGGTGGAGGCGAGAGATGGGATGGGAGGGATGGACGTCAACAGTTCAATTCACAGCAGAAGCAAGGCAGGTGTGCATGGGGTGGAAAGGTGTGCATGGGGTGGAAAGGTGTGCATGGGGTGGAAAGGTGTGCATGGGGTGGAAAGGTGTGCATGGGGTGGAAAGGTGTGCATGGGGTGGAAAGGTGTGCATGGGGTGGAAAGGTGTGCATGGGGTGGAAAGGTGTGCATGGGGTGGAAAGGTGTGCATGGGGTGGAAAGGTGTGCATGGGGTGGAAAGGTGTGCATGGGGTGGAAAGGTGTGCATGGGGTGGAAAGGTGTGCATGGGGTGGAAAGGTGTGCATGGGGTGGAAAGGTGTGCATGGGGGGGGTAAGGAGGTCTTACAGGGGCGGAGTGGAGGGGCGGCATGAGGTAGAGCGCGAGAGCCGTGGTGGCATGCTGCGACATGGGGAAGGTGAGTGGCGCCTGGTGGTCCCCGAAGGTGCACATGAGGGAAGGGGGGGAGGCAGACGGGGGGGAAGGAGGGAGGAGGGGGCCCGAGGGAAAGAGGAGGGAGGGAGGGAGGGAGGGAGGGAGGGAGGGAGGGAGGGAGGGAGGGAGGGAGGGAGGGAGGGAGGGAGAGAGGGAGGGAGGGAGGGAGGGAGGGGAGGGGACTCAAGTGCAAGCAAGGGATAAGAGCAGGGCGAGTGGTGTGGTAGGCATGGGGCAGGGGGCAAGGTGCATGGTGCAGCATGGGGCATTGGGCATGGGGCATGGGGCAGCATGGGACATGGAGCTTGGTGCATGGGACATGGGGCATGGGGAATGGTGCATGTACGAGAGGAAAAGCTTACGGTAGATGAAGAGCAGGACAGAGAGAAAAGCAAAACGAAACACTCCCCCCATCATGCTCCCACCTCGCCCCTTCGCCCCTCACTCACCCCTCACCCCTTCATGCCCTCGCCCCCCCCCCCTCGCCCCTCAGCGCGCCTCTCACCTGGTCCACCCACGACCACCAGTCACTGCAGCTCATGTCCGCCCCTCGGCCCTCCTCCCTCTCTGGCGTCACCGGTGCACTCAGCCCTCTCTCTGCGTCCCCTCCCACTTCTGCCCCTCCCTCCATGCCCCCTTCCCCCTCCGCCCGTCCCCGCTCTGCCCCTTTTTCCGCTGCCCCTCTCCCAGCCCCTCCTTCTGCCACCTCCACTTGCACCCTCGCTTTTCTCCCCGCGCCCTTCCCCCTCAAGTCCCCATGAGCCCCCTCCACTTGCTTCCGCTTCCTCTCCCCGCCACCATCGCCTGCTTTCCCCTCGCCTTCCCCCGAGGAGAGAGGGCGAGCCACAGCAGCACCATAGGTCCTTGAACCTGCCTTGCTTTCCTCCTCTCTTCCCTCGTCTCTTCCCTCCCCACTCCTCTCCTCCTCCCCTGCTCGCCCATGCATTGGTTCACACCCCGCCCTCCCCTCGCCTGCACCTTCCGCCCTCTCCGTGCGCACCCTCTGTGCACACGTGGCTATGTGGCTCGCTGCTGCTCGCTTCCACAGCCGCTCCTGCCACCCAGGTGCGGTGGGGCGGTATGGGGCGGGGTGGAGAGCAGGAAGGAGATGGGTTGAAGAAGGGGTGGGGGACACAGGTTGGGCTGGAAATGCAGGGTACAGGCAAGATAAGGGCACTGGGAGCCAGGAGAGGGAAAGGACGCGTGAGGGCAGAGTGGGGAGTATGCAGCAGCAGAGCAGAGAGTGTGCGCGTGCAGGGGAGACAGGGAGAAAGGTGCAAGAGAAGCACGGACGAGCAGCGAAGCGAGGGAGAGCACGGGGTAGAAGGGGCGAGGGAGTGGGCGGCGAGGGAGTGAGCAGGGCAGCACCTGTTGGAAGTCGTGGGCGAGCCATGCCATCTCCTGCAGCACGTAGTCCCACTGGCTGCTGCCCCCCGCCCGCACCCTCCATGCATCTCCACCCTCCGCCCCGCCCTCCTCACCCGCCCCCATCTCCCTCCATGCGGCCCCCGTGCCTGCCTCTGTGCTGCCAGTGCCGCCAGCAGCAGCAGCAGCAGCAGCAGCAGCAGCAGTGGTGGTGGCGGTAGGGTAAGCTGCAGCGAGCAGGCGACGGTTGGCCTGAGAGGGGGGAGTGGGAGGGGGGGAAAGAGTGGTGGAGAGTGGGTGAGCATGTGCCACTGCCCCACCGCCCTCTCCTCTCTCAACATCCCACACAGCCTGTACCTACCGCACCACACCCTTCCCCCCTACCACACCACACCCTTCCCCCCTACCACACCACACCCTTCCCCCCTACCACACCACGCCCTGTCCCTGTCCCTTTCACGGCACTGCCCTCCCCACTCACCCAGATGCCATCAGCCTCCTCCAGCACGCACTCCTCATGTGCCCGCGCTGCCGCTGCTGCCAGCTCGCCCCGCCTCCGCCCCTCCTCCTCCTCCGCCCGCCTCCCCTCCCACACGTGCCTCGCCACCCACTCCCCCGCCTCCCCGCCCCTCCCCACAGCCCCCACTGCCACTGCACCCCCTTCAGCACCTCCTCCCCCACCGCCCCACCCACTCCACCCTGCCCCGCCTGCTGCTGCCCGCCCAGCCACTCCCGCTCCCCCACGCCCCCCCTCGCCTTCTCCTCCCCCTGCCCCTGCCACGGCCTCTCCTCCCCTTGCACCGCCATTCCCCCCAACCCCGCCGCCTTCCCCCCACGCATCTCCCCGCGCTCCCTCCAGAGAATCAGGCAGAAGCGAGGAGAGCGAGGCGAGGGAAGGGAGGGAGGGCAGCGAGGGCAGCGAGGGGGCGAGGGCGGAGGGCGAGGCAGCGAGGGCGGAGGAGGAGGAGACGGTGGGGATGGGCACAGAGGAGGGATCGGGCATGGGGATGGGCACCGGCACGTGCGACAGGGGCGCGTGGGGGGTGGGCGGGGGAGGGCGCTGCTCTGTAACCAGCAACCCGAGGGGGTCTCTGGACGCTGTAGGCGCGTGGCGCTCCTGCTGCTGCCCCGCCTGCCTCTCATGCCCGCTGCTGCTGCTTGCCCTTCCCCCCCCCTCGCTGCTCCCCTGCCCACCTGGTTCGCCTCCCCCTCCGGCCCTACCCCTGCCACTGGCACCACCGCTACCACTCCCGCTACCACCACTGCCCCCGCCATTGCCACTGCCGGCACCACCAGTGCCAGCCGCCATCGCCCTGTGGATTTCTGATGCGCCACCTGCCTCCTCAGCACGCACTGAGAGCGCCTGCGAGTGGGGGCGCCCGGCTCCATACAACCGTCCTGCCTCGCCCTCCCCACTCCCCTCCTCCCTCCCCCTCTTCCTCCCTCGCTCCATCCCCACAACGCCCGACCCCCACCCATCCCCCCTTCCCTCCCCTTGACTCCTCTCCTCCTCCGCCCCCTCCCCGCCACCCCTGCTTCCGCCCATCCCCCCTCCGCCCCCCTGTCCCCGCTCCCCCTCCCCCAGCTCCCCCTGGGCGGAACCACCAGGGGGGCTGGCGGGGAGGGTGACCTCAACGGGGATGGGGGCGCCAGAGAGGGAGGAGGCGAGGGGGCGGGGGCGGGGGGCGTGGGGGGGCAGGGCGGAGTGCAGGCGGGCGAGCATGTGCGAGTGCGAGTGCAGCATGGCTTGCAAGGGCGCCCCCACCTGCAGCGTCACCACCACACACTCGCCTCCCCCCTCCTCCTCACCCCCACCACCGCCGGGAGCGGGAGTCGCAGCTATGACGGTGCAGAGGGGTTGGCGGTGGTCTGCTGCGGTGCAGGTATCATCGTCAGTATCCATACACACAACGTCAGCTGTGCCGTCATCATCATCAGAAACAGCATCAGCAGCAGCAACAGCATTCACACCATCATTAGCAGCACCAAGACTCAAAGCTCCTGCATTGCTCCTCTCCTCCACCCCACCCACATCAGCATCAACCTCACAAGCACGCCACCTGTCCCCTTTCTCCTCCATCTCTTCCTCCTCATCCCCCTCCCCCTCGCCTCCTCCCCCTCCATTCCCGTCCTCCCTCCCCTGTTGCTCCCCCACCGCCCCTCCCTCTGCCACCACCCTCTCGCCTTGTGTCACTCTGTCGCCCCCACCATCCTGTTTCTCATCCTCCCCACCGTCCTCCCTCGCATGCTCCGCAGCAGGGCTGCAGGCAGCTCGCAAGGCAGGGGCATGGAAGGGAGGAGGGAGCAGAGCAGAGGGCGGGGGAAGTGAAGACAGGAGAGCGGATGTGCGGCTGGGGCAGCGAAGGACAGGAAGGTCTAAGCAAACCGAGCCAGAAGACACATGGAGTGCGTGTGTGTGACGCGCAGTGGGAGTGAATGGAGTGCGCGCATGGTTGGGTTGGAGTGCTCTCAGCGTTCACGGCTCACCACTAGTGGGCCAAGCAGTTTTGACAGGGGGGTGGTTGGGGCTCGAAGGGTTGGTGCGCACACCTGGGGCAGGGTGGAAGGTCGACTCTGGTAGGCGCACACGGTGGGGGGGAGGGGGAAGGGGAGGACGTGGGGGAGAGCGGCAGCAGGAGGGGGGAGGGCAGGCGGGCGGAGAAGGGGAAGTCGAACACGTCCCCGCCCTGAAGAAAGAGGGGTGGAGTGTGGTGGGTGGGGTGGGGGGAGCACGGTTGGGGGGTGGGGGTGCAGGCACACACATGAGAGCGTGAGGGCGGACGGATGGGAGGAGGGAGGGAGAGAGAGAAAGCGGGGGAGCAGGCGGAGGCAGCAGCAGAGGATCTTCCTTGTGTCCGACTGGCAAGCTCTCTCACTCTCTGCCATATGCGCGCCTCACTTCACTCACCTCCTCATACTCGCACCTCGTTCACTTACGTGCTTGCACTCACACCCGTGACCCCTCCGCGCTCACCTCCTCCAGGAATCGCAGCAACTCCGCCGCGCACGCGTTGCGATCGTCGCCCGCCAATGCGCTGCTGGCGCGGGCGGGGGGAGAGGGAGGCAGCGCGGACAGGAATGGGGGAGCGGAACGAAGGGAGAAGGAAGCGTGAGAACGAAGGAAACGGCAGAACGCGGAGGTACGCTCGCAGTGGCACGTGGCAGTGGCGCGCAGTCAGGCATGGAATGGAGTGGTTAGGGTTACGGTTGTGTGCCGAACCCAAACAGGCACACGACCGCGCGTAGCGGCCAAAAGGAGAGGCGGAGGGGCGGTCCGCGCCTCTGCGACACGCGCGGACCAGGTGACATTGAACGCGCGGTTCCACGTACGCGGGAGCGGCGGAGGCGAGGCCGGCAGCGGCGCGGGACGAGCAGGCCGGCATGGCGTCGAGCCGTCGAGAGCGCTTCGGAATGGCCTATTGAGCGCGCGACGAGTCACAGCGAGGACGGTGCGCCGCGGACAGCGGCAAGCGCGGAGGGCGCGGGCGGAGATTCGTGCGCCATCGCCGTGCGCGGCTGGCAGTGCGTTGTTTGCGGGGTCTCGCAACCGCTAGTCTGACGTGCAGGGCCTATGCAATGCGTTATTTTCGCTCAATGTTGTCTGATGAGGAATCTCCAGCTATGTGGAACTTTGTAATCACATTTGTGCAGATATTTAGGCTAAGGATTTCCTCTCATTTACCGTTTCCTACCAAAACGACGCGTGTTTGTGGCGAAGCAACCATTTCCAGGTTGGTTTCTCACAGCGTCGCAGTTGCCCCAGCGTCTCATAATCCACTCCGCCGCGCTGCCCTATGCTCCCACGCACCGCACCATTGACACCACCTGTCGCGCGCTCACGCCCACTATTTTAGCAACCACACCTCCCGTTCTGCCTCCGCGGCAAAAATATACGCGCGCGCAGACACGCACACTCCGAATCCTCTGCGTTCGCTGCGCTCACTGCGTTCTCTCCCCCGCCTCCGCTCACCTCCGCCTCTGCCAATGGCGACATCGCTTGCGCCACCGTGCCATTCCGCGCTCTCTCCGCCGCCCCTCCGCCTCGCTGCGCGCCATTCCCCCTTCCGCGCCTCCTCCCTGCCGCTCCGCCCGCGGGGGGTGACGCGCGGGGCGGTGCGCCGCGCGGCGCAGGGGGTGCGCGCGGGCGTGGCGGAGGCGGGCGGGGAGCCGGCGCCGATGGGGCAGGTGACGCGGTACAACGACTCGCCCATCGACCTCGCGCTCATGGGGCTCTTCCGCCGCAAGATGGAGCAGCAGATCGGTGGTGAGTGGTGACGCGCGGTGCGCAGTGATAAGAGGTGATAAGCGGTGAGCGGTGATGGGTGGTGAGTGGTGGTTGGCGCAACGTCTGGTCGTGCTCAGCTGCAATCTACGCTGCATGGCTGTTCCTTCATTTTGTCACCAACCGTGCCTCTTGCTCCCCTCCCTGCTTCATGGCATGGCATGGTGGCATGGTGGCATGACGGCATGACGACATGACATCACGGCGGCGCGACGGGAATCAGAGGTGGCGACTCGGAAGCGCGGGTACGAGGCGTTCGTGGAGGTGTCGCGGCGCGTGATGCAGGGGCGGTCAGCAGCAGAGCAGCGCGCCATCGTCGCCAACGTGCTCCTCTCGCTGCTGCCACCTAACGCGCCCGCCACTGTGAGAGCACCCCTCCTCCCCTCACTGTGAGAGCACCCCTCCTCCCCTCACTGTGAGAGCACCCCTCCTCCCCTCACTGCTTCATGCACGGGCGGTCAGCGTGCACGGCAGCCCCGCTGCTCTCCCCAGCCCCGCTGCTCTCCCCAACCCCGCTGTTCTCCTCGCTCTCCCCACATTCGCCAAGCCTTTCACTCACTGCATTTCCTTCTGCAGCCCCACGCGCCCTCTTCCCCACGCCACCTCTTTCCCAACCCCCCTCTCCCCGCCCCCTCTCCCCGCCCCCTCTCTCCGCACCCCCCTCCCCCCAGTTCCGCAAGTGGTTTCCCCCCAGCAAGTTCTCCGCAGAGATCAACGCCGCCATCACAGTGCCGGGCTTCCAGTGGCTCGTGGGGCCCTGCCAGGTGAGGCTTTAAGTGGCTCGTGGGGCCCTGCCAGGTGCGCCGCATGCCATGCCACTCGTGCTGCACCATGCTCCATGCCAACTGTCTCAAGGCTGCTATGCCATGCATGCCACTCGTTCTGTGCACCACACCATGTCAGTGCGCTGTGTCTGCCTCTCCTCGCACGCTGCCTAACGCAATCTCATTCCTGTGCCCTGCGTCCTGAACCCTCTATGTCCCTCTCTCTCTGCGCCCGCCCTGCCCTCCATGCTCTCCTGCTGCTCTTGCCCATCGCTGCTGCTGCTGCTGCCCATCGCCACTGCTGCTGCTGCCGCTGCTGGCCATTGCTGCTGCTGGTGCACGGGGACAGCTGAAGGAGGTGGAGGTGAACGGGCAGAAGCAGATGAGCGGCGTGCAGATCACCAAGTGCAGGTGACAGCATCCTCACCACCTCTCCCAACCTATCCCCACCTTTTCCCGCCTCTGCCCACCACTTCGCACCTGTTTCTTCATGTTGCATGCCTCATGCTCCACTTGTCTTTTCCCATTGTCACCTCACCAGACACACAGACTTGGGTCATCAAACCCACCGACCAGCTACCCTGCTTGCTACTCTCACCCGTGCTCCGTGTCTGCACCCCTCCTGTATGCGCCACACCCCTACTCTCTGCTCTCCCACCCTCCCTGCGGTGCGGCTGTGCAGGTACCTGGAGGTGAGTGGGTGTGTGGGCATGTGCGTCAACATGTGCAAGCTGCCCACTCAGGACTTCTTCACCAACGACTTTGGTCTCCCCCTCACCATGACACCCAGTACGTCCCTCACCATGACACCCAGTACGTTCCACCCTGGCACTGTCAAAACTCACCACTGCTCTAGTGCAAGCTGCACTGCCTTGCTTTGCTGTTCCAGTTGCTGTCCCTCGCTGCACGCCTCCCTTACCCTCTTCACCGCTCTCCTCTGCTCCTCTCCTTGCACTCACTCAAGCATGCTTTTGCACAACCGTTCACATCCCACCGCGCACCCTCCACCACCGCACTCCCATGGGCAGACTTTGAGAACATGAGCTGTGAGATGGTGTTCGGCCGGATGCCTCCGCCCCTCTCTAAGGTGACTTTTGAGTCGACTTAAAACCCACCAAGCACCCTCCACTCCCCCCTCCCCCCCTCTTCTTCCCCTTCCCCCCCCCCCCCTACAGACTTTGAGAACATGAGCTGTGAGATGGTGTTCGGCCAGATGCCTCCTCCCCTCTCCGAGGACCCCGCCCTCTCCCAGCCCTGCTATGCCACACTCTGTGAGTCTAGGCCTGCTGTGGTGGCGTGGTTGGCGTGGTCGCATGGTGGCATGGTGTGCTTCTCTGCTCCCTGTGCTTTGCAGCATCCTCCCACCCTACTTGCCCTTGCTAACACCTCAGCCGCCAAGCTCAGGCAACAGCTGTTTCAGACCAAATACCTAACAGCTGCGTTTCTACACGGGCCATGGAGCATTGTTGATTGGTGGGAATTCTCATGAGTTTCTCCACAGAGTCATGGTGCATTGCTGGACTGCCTCCCGTTCGTTTCTTTTCATCACTGTGCATTGGATCTCCTGTGTTCTCTCCCCGTGCCCATGCCTGGCAGGCTCCATGGCCCAACCAGAGGCTGACAAGTGTCCACGTGTTCCTGATGCCACACCCTGATGCACAGCCCTCAAATCTGCCTATTCAGTCTCTAATTATGTTGATAAACTTTTAGTGAACCCCTAATGTTATGGTTCTTGCATATGCCTATTTACCAGATACCCATGGTCACTTTCTTGGTCGGAATCTCGTGTGTGGCTTGCATTCATCCATGGGCCATCACATCATGATGCGCCATGCGCACATGCCATGGGTCAGTATGGGATGAGTCTTGCAGCGCACTAAGTGCCCTAAAGGATGGCGCACGAGGTCTCTTCTGGAAGGGGGTAAAGGGGTGGTTCAAGAACACACGCTCTAGGGTGGATTGTGGCCGATCAAGCAGCTCGAGAAAAGCAACTCAATATCAACTCAAGGGACACACAAGACAGCATGGTAACAAAGCAATGGGTGAAAAAACAGAGGACAGGAGTGTAGAGTGGTGAGCGGCCGAGCCCCATCCGCTGCCGCCCCGCAACACACATGACAGCACAGCCGCCCTGCTGCTGGTGTCGGGACTCGGGCTGCTCGCACTGCAGTGGGAAGAAACTGCTCCGCATGTCAGGATCGCACCAGAGCAGCAAAACGCATGACGACCCCGTCGCACATCAGCTCTATCCTTATCATACCTAGCTAGCCCTACCCCATTGGATCCCATGAGAGCAAGGAGGGGTCAGGTCAGAGCAGCGTGCAGCACCCACCCTGAGCGTCCATGGTGCCGCCCAGGCGGTGCTGCAGTGCCTCCAGGCGCGCCACCACCTGCGTGAACTCGGGGCGCTTGTCCGCCTCCGCATCCCAACACTCCTGCATCAACGCTGCTAGCTCCGGCTCACACCCCGCTGGCACCTCCGGTCGCATGTTCTGTGATGAAGGGAGGAGGGTAGGGATGGAGGAGGGTGGGAGGAGAGGGAAGGGGTGTTGAAGAAGAAAGAGGAGAAAAAGTAGGGATTGTGGAGAGGAAGCTGAGAGAGAGAGAAAAATGATATAGGGGAGGTAGGTTGGCTGTTAGTTAGAAGAGGATAGGGGAGAGATGTGGAAATGGTAAGAGGACAGGCATGGGGATAGGCATGGGGATAGGCATGGGGATAGGCATGGGGATAGGCATGGGGATAGGCATGGGGGATGATGGCAATAACGCACGGGGCTTAACCTTCAATACCTGCACACTGCACAGCACACCCACTCTTTCTGCTCTGCTTGCTGCCACGCATGCTTCCACAACTCGTCGTTGTGCCATGTATGATTGATCTCTGCTCCCTGCCTGCTTGCTTAATTCATCTCTGAAATATGATCATTCTGCCCACCGCCCGCCACTGCCTTGTTGACAAGTGTAATGGAGCCTGGCCCACCTTGTTGACACAAGTGTGCATGTAAGGCCCGCCATTACCTTGTTGACGACGTTGAAGGCGAGTTGGATGAAGGTGAGGCCCTTGAAGGGCAGCTCGCTGGTGACCAACTCCCACAGCACGATGCCAAAACTGTACACGTCCACCTTGCGCGTGTACGGCTTGTGGTCTATCACCTGCACGGTGGGGGGTGGGGGGGGAACAGGAAGGAGAATTGAGGTGTGAAATGCGAGTCTCACACAGCATAATGCTCTCCCAATCTGTACCCATCCACCTTGCGCGTGCACGGCTTGCAGTCTATCACCTGTGCGTGCGAACAGGCGGGGGAGAGGGAGGGGGCAGAAGGAAAAGGCAAGTCGGGTTGTGTATTGTGATTTTCTGCACGGCAGCATGCCCACGTAAGTTTTACACATCCACCTTTGTGTGCATGGCTTGCGGTCTATCACCTGAGAGTGAGAAGGGGGAATAGTTGGTTGTGTCACTGCAGGCGCAAGGGGAGGTGGGGAAGTGCATGGGGGGCGCGTGTGGGGTGCAAGGAGGCTTGCATGGATGGATGTATGTATCCCATCCCGTGTCATCTCATACACAAGCCATCCAGCTCACCTCAGGCGCCATCCAGCTCACCTCAGGCGCCATCCACCTCACCTCGGGCGCCATCCATCGCACGGTGCCGGTCTCGCAGGTCATGTCGTTGGGGTTCTTGGCCTCCGTGCGCGCCTCTCCTACCCTCAACACCCATGCACTCACTCATCTCCCACTCTCCATCCGCCCCGCCTCACCTCGGGCGCCATCCAGCGCACCTCTGACTACTCCCCCTCCCCGCCTCACCTCGGGCGCCATCCAGCGCACCTCTGACTACTCCCCCTCCCCGCCTCACCTCGGGCGCCATCCAGCGCACCTCTGACTACTCCCCCTCCCCGCCTCACCTCGGGCGCCATCCAGCGCACCTCTGACTACTCCCCCTCCCCGCCTCACCTCGGGCGCCATCCAGCGCACCTCTGACTACTCCCCCTCCCCGCCTCACCTCGGGCGCCATCCAGCGCACCTCTGACTACTCCCCCTCCCCGCCTCACCTCGGGCGCCATCCAGCGCACCTCTGACTACTCCCCCTCCCCGCCTCACCTCGGGCGCCATCCAGCGCACCTCTGACTACTCCCCCTCCCCGCCTCACCTCGGGCGCCATCCAGCGCACCTCTGACTACTCCCCCTCCCCGCCTCACCTCGGGCGCCATCCAGCGCACCTCTGACTACTCCCCCTCCCCGCCTCACCTCGGGCGCCATCCAGCGCACCTCTGACTACTCCCCCTCCCCGCCTCACCTCGGGCGCCATCCAGCGCACCTCTGACTACTCCCCCTCCCCGCCTCACCTCGGGCGCCATCCAGCGCACCTCTGACTACTCCCCCTCCCCGCCTCACCTCGGGCGCCATCCAGCGCACCTCTGACTACTCCCCCTCCCCGCCTCACCTCGGGCGCCATCCAGCGCACCTCTGACTACTCCCCCTCCCCGCCTCACCTCGGGCGCCATCCAGCGCACCTCTGACTACTCCCCCTCCCCGCCTCACCTCGGGCGCCATCCAGCGCACCTCTGACTACTCCCCCTCCCCGCCTCACCTCGGGCGCCATCCAGCGCACCTCTGACTACTCCCCCTCCCCGCCTCACCTCGGGCGCCATCCAGCGCACCTCTGACTACTCCCCCTCCCCGCCTCACCTCGGGCGCCATCCAGCGCACCTCTGACTACTCCCCCTCCCCGCCTCACCTCGGGCGCCATCCAGCGCACCTCTGACTACTCCCCCTCCCCGCCTCACCTCGGGCGCCATCCAGCGCACCTCTGACTACTCCCCCTCCCCGCCTCACCTCGGGCGCCATCCAGCGCACCTCTGACTACTCCCCCTCCCCGCCTCACCTCGGGCGCCATCCAGCGCACGGTGCCGGTTTCACAGGTCATGTCGTTGGGGTTCTTGGCCTCCGTGCGCGCCACGCCAAAGTCCGCGATCTTGACCGCCCCTTTGTGGTCCAGCAGCAGGTTGTCGGACTTGAGGTCGCGATGCACCACGTCGCGCGCATGCAGGTAGCTGGGGAGGGGGGGGTGGAGGGGGGGGAGGGGGGGCGTGGGGTGGGGGGCGAGGGGGGGTTGTGAACTTGTGAGGGAGAAAGGGGGAAAAAAACTAAGGGGATGAGGAAAGGGGAGGGTGGGCAGCGATCTTCACGGCGCCCTTGTGGTCCAGCAGCAGGTTGTCCGACACTTGAGATCGCGATGCACCACGTCGCGCGCATGCAGGTAGCTGGAAAGTTGAAAAAGGGGGGTGGAAGGTGGAAGGGGTTGGGGAGGAGGGAGAAAGGGGAAGGGAAAAGGTGAGGAGGAGGGGAGAGAAGTGGGGGAAGAAAGAGGGGCGAAATCCCGGGGCAGCAACCACTTTCTCCTCCATCAACGGCCATTCATGCCACCAATCCCCTGCTCTCATCTATTTCCTTCCCAACCTGCCCTAACCACCCTCCTTCATGCCCACCCCCCTCACCCATCACAAGCACCCCTCTTTCTCTTACACTCCCCTTCCTCCCCACTCCCCCCGTTCGGCGCACCAGAGGCCGCGCGCGATGTGCAGCGCGAGGCGGACGCTCTCTTTGGGCGGAAGCTTGCCGCGGCGGGCGAGGTACCCGCGCAGCGTGCCCCCGCCCATGTACTCCGTCACGATCGCCCACAGCGGCTGCCCCGGAGGCGGCTTCGCGTCGCTCGGCGCGCGGATGTTCCCCGCGTTAAGCGACGCGCCTATGAACTGGGGGGGGGGGGGGGGGAAGGGGAGGTCGGAAGGACGGGTAGGGGGAGGATGGAAATGGAGAAGGGAAAGAGGGGAGGGAGGCAGATGCGGTGGGAGCGAGTGAATAAGGGGATGGGGAGGCACACTACAGAGCATTCCGAACTGCTTGGTCCATTCCATGCTGCTATCAACACGACGTTGGCGTGCGACGGTGAATCACCTGCACGACATGCGCGTGGGACTGTGTGGTTGGGGTGCGAGAGCGTGCGACATGGCATTACCTGCACGACGTTGGGGTGCGATATGGCAGTACCTGCACGACGTTGGGGTGCGACATGGCAGTACCTGCACGACGTTGGGGTGGGAGAGCGTGTGCCACACTTTGATCTCCTGCAGGAAGGAGCTCTTGAGTCCCTCCAGGTCCTTGGCCGCCATGTCCGCCGGCACGTTCAGCAGCTTCACCGCCACGTCATCGCCCTCGTACAGCCCGTGATACACCTTCCCGAACGCGCCCGCCGCCAGCTGGTTCGTGCACATCACCTGCGGACACGGCAGGGTTGCGAAAGGGAGAAACGGGCGAGGGGTTTTTATACTTTACCTTGAGTCGACTCAAAAGTCACCTCGAACGCGCCCGCCGCCAGCTGGTTCGTGCACATCACCTAAGGACACGGGGCCGCGAAATGCGGCAGCCGCACGGCAGGATTGTGAGAGGGCAAAGAGGACAAGGGATGCTCTGCGCAGGGTGATGATGCAGCAGCGGGTGCGCGCATGACAGCACCAACTGTACAATGACAGTAGTTGGAGCACTTTTCGATATAAGTAGTCCGCTCTACTAGAACTCGGCCTACACCCAACTGCCAAGCCGTCACACTTACTAACCAGCCCAACTCACCTTACTCATATCCAGCGTCCACGGCGCCGCGCCTCCGCTCTCATCCGCAACCTTCGCCGCCGCCTTGCCCAGTCCGCCCTCCGCCTTCTCCGCCGCTCCCCCGTCCGCCTTCCCCTTGGCGGCTGCGCCTCCCCCGCCCCCCAGCGCGTCCATGGTGCTCAGATCCAGCAGGTCCGCGCGCACCATTCCGCCGCCCTCCGTCCCCATCGCCCCCGCCTTCTTTCCGCTTCCGCTTCCGCTTAGGCTTACCGCGCGACTAATTTGTCTTGACCGCCTCGACTTTCACTTTCACTCCGCGCCACTCTTCGGCTCGGTTCTATTCATTCACCAAGAATGCGAGATTCACAATGAGCAAAGAAGCGACTTTCGAGCGACTCAAAAGTCTTCGGCTCTACTCTAGTCTTTCACGATGCGTGGTCGGCAGCGACACAGGCCTTCATGATCTTATCTCGCGCTTCGAACGCAGGAGTCAAGTACTATTCGGCGGTCGTTAGACGGAGGCCGTCTGGTGCGCTTCTGCGTCTTGAATTTCCGCAAAGCGCTCCCGGTTCAGCTACTAGCGGGTGACGGGAATTCGTAGTGGCGACGGGTGAGCTGGCGCACTGCGATACGATGACCGATGTTGACGAAATTTCGCTCAGTTTTTCCAGCATCTGTGGAGGCCAGCAGGCGTCGCGACGGACCGTCACCCGAGGGTCAGAATGCACAGCGGTGCATTGCTGTGCTCTCTTCAGATACTCGCAGGACAGTACAGCGCTATCAACACGCCATGCGTTGGATTTTGGAGAAGCTGCAGCATTCAAGTTTTTTGGAGGAGTGTGGCTCTGGAGGAAGTTGCTTGATTGCTGGTTGAGTTGAGTACAGGCAACGACTAGGCTCCTCTAACCTGAACTTGCTATGGACTGGAGCGAGTGAAGAGAGGAGAGCTGCGGCAAACAAACTTGAAGATCAGATGCAATCTGGGTTCTTCAACGCAAAGACAACAGCAGGCAGGCAGCTGACAAGCCCAAGGCAGTGACGTGACGGAAACGAAAAGCGGATTGGCCTGGAACGGGACTCACCACGTGTGAACTTCGATTGGCAGATAATGAGCGCCGGAACACACGTGGCCACATTTTGTGCCCTAGAGGAGTGTCTTTTCATCCCACGTGAAAGCCATTGTCCTTGCGCGATATGGATTCAAGAGGAGCAGGCAGAGCGATTCATATAGAGCGACCGAAAACGAAACATGACGAACAATACCCTGCTTATCTAAGGGCGTGTAACTTTTTTTCTTTTTGACCGTACGTACCGTATACGAAATTGGTATCCGGATCTCGTCAAAACCCGCATGATCTGCAATTCGATAACGAGCTTGGACGGTCCGTACCGTGAGCGGGATACCCTTTTCGCATACGGTCCGTACGGAAAAGTTACACGCCCTAATTCACTGTGTCAGATTACCTCTTAGTCTGTGGTGAGAAACAACAAAAGAACTACTGCCACTGTTCACTAAGAAGGCATCAAATTCCACTCATCATCATCGATTTCCATTCCAGTCACCGCATGGAAGAACATCATACACCATATAGAAATGAGTACGTGACATGCAAAGTTGATGTGGATCGTAGAGCTATAGTAGACTGAACCTACACTACACAATTTATTTGTCCTACCCATAAATGCAACCTATTCCATAGCCTCGGCCTACGTGGCATAAGCAGGTTGGTCGGCCGCGGGGTCGTCTTGAGAGGGCAGCCAATGGGAGGTGAGGCGCCTGAAGCGCGTTGCTGCATCCACCAACACTCTCTTTAACGCCAGGCCCAGTGCAGCAAGCAGCACAGCCAGTGCTGCCAGCACCACCCTCACCTTGAGCACCACGCTGCCTCCCATGCGGCCAAACGCCGCTCCCAGCAACAGCCACAGCCGCTTCCTCCTCGCCACTGCCTCCGCTGCTGTCGCCCTCCCCTCCCTCTCCTCCCACTCACTCTCACTCCCACTCTCACTCTCGTACCCACTCTCGCTCCTGGACACACCAGCCACTCCCACACTGCCAGGTGGCTGTCTCTGACTGGCGAATCCCAGAGCGGCAGCAGGCGCGGAGGGAGGGGGGGAGGGGGCGAGGAGGTGGGTGGGCGAGGAGGAGAGCTGGGAGGCGGTGATGGCATCGAGGGGCAGCTGGGCCACTCCCAGGGAGGCGCACAGGGCATCTGCTACCACGCGCGCTAGCTTGTCCCGTGCCACCTCTGCTTCTGGTGATACGAATGCCTCTGCCAGTGCACGCATGTCCTGGGAGAGCGTGGTTGTGGGTACGGTGGGGTGAAGTGGGGTGGAGTGAGGTGGTGTGAGGTGGGTACATAGGGTTGTTTGGCAGAACCAGGGATGCGCACAGGACGTCTGCCACCACGCACTCCAGCTTGTCCCGTGCTACATCTGCTACTGGGGATACAAACGCCTCTGCCAGTGCACGCATGTCCTGGGAGAGGGCATAGTTGGGGGGTGTGGAGGGGCGGAGTGACGTGGTGGGGGGAGGATGCGTGTATGAAGAGCTGTTTAGCTAAGCCCAGTGACGCATTCACACACAGCTGCCATTGCCACTGCCGGTACCCAATTCGCACACGCGATGTCCTGCCGATCAGGGATGGGGGAAAGGGGTGTGGGACGAGTGTGAAGGCCATACCCACGCATGCGAGTTGCAGGGTCCGTACGAGTGTGAACGCCGTACTCCTTGCATGGTCCAGCAGTTCCACAGGACAGGGAGGCATGGCAAGGAGTGCACGGCTCAGCATGGAAGCCATGTGGCATGTGCGAGGGGAAGCAGTCTTGGGAACCGGGGAGAAGAAGCATCCGTACGGACTCAAGGATGACTCGCCATGCGCTGGCAGCGTGGCGGGACATATTAGCAAGGCAGGGTATGTGGGGAAGCTGTGTGTCGACAGGAGGGGGGCATTGTACCTACTATGTAGGGACCTACCGATTCAAGAATGACTCGGCGTGCACTGGCAGCGTGTCTAGAGAGCAGCACTTCCATCACCAGCGCTGCCGGGCTGGGCGTGGCGCGTTGAGAGGCGGCGCCAGCAGTGGCGGCGGAGGAGAGTGGGGGAGAGGTGCCGGGCATGGGGGGCATGCCTGGGATGGGTGATTGCAGCGATGGCATGGCCAGTGATGCCACCAGGTCGCTGGATAAGGGGGGGAGGGGGAGAGCAGGGAGAGGGGGGCAGAGAAGAGGAAAGCAGCAGGTGTTGATTGTGGAGACGGGACACGACATGCGTGCAAGTGGGATGCTGGGAGGGGGAGGTGTGTACATGGAGGGTGAAGATGCGATGTGTGGAGATGCCTTGCGGGCCACTCATGACACAATGAGCCAGCCTACGTACCCTGTGGCAGGCTGCTTTACTGTGCCCTCACCCTTCCTCCCTGCTGCATTCATCCCACGTACCGCTGGGCTTGTGTGGAGCTGGCAGCAAACGAGGCAAATCGCTCCCACCGTAGCTTGCCTTCTCGTGTTTGGACCAGCTGGAACGAGGGATGGAAGGAGGGGGGAAGTGGCGGATGGGACGTGTCAAGTTGTCATGTATCACTTCTCTTTTGAGGCGCCTCAGATCGAACTTCCAACAAGCCCACCGCGTAACACTCGTTAGACCATGACCCACCAGCCACACTACGTTCTCTCCCAACCCTTTCCCTTCCCCTTTTCTCCCTTCCTCCCCCTCTCCCTCCACCTCCCCCTTCACCCTCACCTGGCGCAGCACGTGGCGCGAGGAGGGCGAGCTGTCTGTGAGCAGACGGCGCACCACGTAGGGGTAGGCTGAGGCGAACACACGGAAGGACGGGTCCACTGCCACGCCGATGCCTGCACGCACACGGATGGGCATGGGAGAATAATCACTTAAAAGCGCAGCATAGGGGTAGGCTGGGGCGAACACTGGGATGGCGGTGGAAGGAGTGGAGGGAGACGGACTTGCGGTGATGGTGCCCATGGGGTATGGAGCCCAGGGAGTGAACTCGTTGGTAGCGTGGGGCTGATGAGGAGAGGGCACTCAAACGCACTGTTAGCCCACCACGCAGTGGTAGGCTGAGGCGATGACACGGATGGCGGTGGAAGGAGTGGAGGGAGAAGGACATGTGGTCATGGTGCACATGGGGCATGCAAGCAACCAAGGTGCGAACGCGATGGTAGCGAGGGGCTGGAAGGGAGAGGGGCGGTGCAGAGAGACAAAGGAAGCACCTTGAAGGGACAAGAGGGATCAGCACAAGGGTGTAGTAAGAAGGGGGGAAAGAACTGTGGCGGCGGGGGAAATGGAGGTGGGTGACAGGGAGGGGGTAGGGTTCTTGTACTTGCAGGAGGGTCTTGGTGGGGTTTTTGTACTTGCAGAGTGCTGAACGGAAGGGTAAATCCCTTGCTGTCGAGAACAATAGCCTCCATGAAAAGGTCCAAGAACTTCAACGTTCATTGGATCAATAAAAAAACTCCAAAACGATTCTCGAACAATTGTTGGGAGATGTAAGTGTCAGCACATTTCCTGCTCTACGTCAAAATGTGCTGACACTTACATCTCCCAACAATTGTTGGAGAACCGTTTTGAAATTATTTGATTGATCCAATGAACGCTGAATTTCTTGGACATTTTCATGGAGGCCATTGTTCTCGACAGCAAGGGATTTACCTTTCTTCTCAGCACTCTGCAAGTACAAAGACCCCACCAAGAACCCCTTGCGCATCGGCACCAGGTTGAGCTGCCGCTGCTGCCGCACGGGGGAAGGAGCCCAAGTATGCTAACCGACCAGCATGGGTCAGTTTCCTAGCAATGGCAGCCGAGACGTACGGGCACTGCTTGCCCGGGGTGCTCGAATTCCTCCGCATCTGCGCTAACCTCGCAGCAAAGTGTCTACACAACGCGGAGCCCTCGTCTAGAGAGGCGCCAAAGCTCTACCACTCATATAGGCAGCAGTGGTCGATTACCCTGCAGCGCGCCCAAGCGAACGCGCTAGTTGCTAAGACGGTGACGGCCTTTGAGGCCGGAGCAGCGCCCAGCCCGCTCCAGAGCGAGTTACTTGGCATCGGGGACCTCCTGCACGTGCTCAAGCCACAGCTCGAGCTGTCGTAGAGTGCTTGCCTACCTGTATGCCGTGATCTTAGTGTGCTGTATCATTTCTGTTTTTTAATGAAAGGTCCACTTCGATGGGGCAGGGGACACCTTCAAGGGAGGCAAGGGAGTGGAGTGCGAGGGTGTAGTAGGGGAGAAGGAGGGTGGAGGCAGACATAGGAACGGCAGGGGAGGAGGGGGCAAGGGGAGGCACCTTCGAGTGAGCCGAGGGAGCGCAGCACGAGGGTGTAGTAGGGGGGGAGGGAGAGCAGTGGCAGTGAGAGCAGTGGCACACACACGGAGATGGAGGCAAGGAGCAGCACCTTCGAGGGACGCAAGGGAGCGCAGCACGAGGGTGTAGTAGGGGGGCAGGCGGAAGCGGAAGCGCAGCGCCATGCGCCATAGCTCACTCGTCACCTGGTCGCATGGGGAGGGGAGAGGGGGGATGGATGATAACAGGTATGCTGGTAAGGGGCCATGGTGCGACGGCAAGGGATGGGTTGAGGAAGCACAGCGCCATGCGCCATAGCTCACTCATCACTTGCCCATGCGGGGAGAGTATGACAGGGGGAGAGGGACAGCAGGACAAGGGGACAGGGGTATAGTGGGGGGACGTGGCATGGGGGCAAGGGAGGAGAGTAGGGTGCATGGCTTCAGGGCACCTTGCACGGCACAGGAAGGCAAAACACAGAGTGGAAGGGCGGATAGAAGTGAGAAAGAAGGCGAGGGGTGCGGGGAAGACATGGCTGGATCGGACAGCACTGCCGGAGGTAACAACACCGCAGGTTCAGAGAGCATGGCACACCTGTCCGAACTGCATGGTGGGGGCGCCTGAGGCGGCTCCTCTCTGCCGGCCGCGACCAAACGCCTCCTCCAATGCCTGGCCAGAGGGCACACCAGGGGAGGGTGCCACAGGGTGGTGTTACAGGGTGGGTGAAACGGAATGGAGTGGCAGAGTGGTGAGCCGGATTCAGGCATGTGTGAGAGAGCATGCGAGAGAGAGCATGCGAGAGGGGAGAATGGCAACCGGATCCATGGCATGGGCAGGCTGAGTGCAGCGCCGAGTGCAGCGCCGAGTGATGAGCGTGAGGGTGGATGGGTGTGAGAACCCACCATGGTGAGGGCGCGCCTGTCAGTGGTGGGTGTGAGTGAGGGTGTCCATGGTGCCAGCATGGTCCACTCGCCGTGTGGGCACGTGCACATGCCAGCAATACTCACCATAGTGAGCGCGCGCCGGTCAGTGGTGGGTTTGAGAACGTCCATGGCAGCGAGGTCGGCTGCCAGCATGCTCCACTCGCCGTTCACCAGATGCGCCACCGCTGCCAGCATGGCCTGCTGGTGCTGCCGCTCCATGCGACACAGCAGACCAAAGTCCAGATAGCTGGAGAGGGTGGAGGTAAGGGAAGAGGCGAGGGCAGGCAGAAGGACGTGGAAGAGGATTTGAAGCACCAGTGCTGCCGCTCCACACGACACAGCAGGCCAAAGTCCAGATAGCTGGAGGGTGGAGGAGAGGGAAGAGGCGAGGAGAAGCAGAGGGAGGTGAAGAACATGGCCCCATGCAAAAACCTGTGCAAGCATGGCTTCCTGGTGCTGCCGCTCCATTCGACACAACAGATCAAAGACCAGGAAGCTGGAGTGTGGAGAAAAAGGAAGGAGGTGAGGAGAAAAGGAGAGAGAAGCTTAGAGGCACCACCTGCTGGTGTGTGGGTGTAAGGCGCCACCACTAACACCTGGGCAGGCGCCACCACTAACACACCTGGGCAGGAGCCACCACTAACACCTGGGCAGGCGCCACCACTAATACACCTCGGCAGGCGCCACCACTAACACACCTGGGCAGGCGCCACCACTAACACACCTGGGCAGGCGCCACCACTAACACCTGGGCAGGCGCCACCACTAACACACCTGGGCAGGCGCCACCACTAACACACCTGGGCAGGCGCCACCACTAACACACCTGGGCAGGCGCCACCACTAACACACCTGGGCAGGCGCCACCACTAACACACCTGGGCAGGCGCCACCACTAACACACCTGGGCAGGCGCCACCACTAACACACCTGGGCAGGCGCCACCACTAACACACCTGGGCAGGCGCCACCACTAACACACCTGGGCAGGCGCCACCACTAACACACCTGGGCAGGCGCCACCACTAACACACCTGGGCAGGCGCCACCACTAACACACCTGGGCAGGCGCCACCACTAACACACCTGGGCAGGCGCCACCACTAACACACCTGGGCATGTGTGTGTGCGTGTGCATGCATGTGCAGGAGGGGCCATGGGTGGGAGAGAGAGCACGCACGCTACTTGGCCTTGTGGAGTGAGCAGCAGGTTGCCGGGGTGTGGGTCCGCGTGCAGCACGCCCGTCACCAGCAGCTGCTCCAATGATGACTCCACGCCTATGCCCACCTGGCGGAGAGAGGGAAATGATGCAATGGGGAATGGAAGTGATGCACAAGGACGAGGAGCATGAACAATGTGTCATAGAGACGAGCAATTCAAGACCCCACCACTCCCCCACTGCTCCTCCCGCTCCCCTTACCATTCTCCACCCCTCTCCCCCACCACCACCCCCACCCCACCATGCGCAGCAGCTTCTGCTTTGCGCGCTACCGTGCGTCCTCCCCTCCAGCGGCCCCCAGCACGCCCTCACAGCCTCACTCACACCGCTCACCCCCCCCCCACTCCCACCCACCATGCGCAGCAGCTTCTGCTTGGCGCGCTGCCGGGCCTCCTCCCCTCCAGCAGCCCCCAGCACGCCCTGCGCCTGGGCCAGCAGGTCGCTGGTGCGCTCGCCCTCCACCCACTCCATCGTCAGCACTCGCCGCGATGTCAGGTCTGGGCGGATGGTGGGGACCGTGATGCCTGGCAGGTGCGCGTGGGCTTTCTGGCAGAGGGGTTATAGGGGGCAGAGGGGTGAAGGCGGAGGGCGTCGGTTGGTTGAGCCTGGGCCAGCAGGTCGCTGGTGCGCTCGCCGTCCACCCACTCCATCGTCAGCACACGCCGGGACGTCAGGTCCGAGCGGATGCTTGGGAGATGCGCGTGGGCTTTCTGGTGGCGGGAGGGGGGGAAGGGGAGGGCAGGGGTGGGCAGGGGTGGGGTGGGTTGGGGAGGCAGGGCGCAGCGCAGGAAACAGGGAGTAGAGGGATGAAGGGGGTGGCACTTCACTTGGCTGAGACTGGCCCAGCACGTCGCTGGTGCGCGCGCCCTCCACCCACTCCATCGTCAGCACTCGGCTCGATATCAGGTCTGGGCGGATTGCTGGCACTGTGATGCCTGGAAGGCGTGCATGTGCACGCTGGTGGGGGGGAAAGGGAGGGCAGCAGTGCACTGCAGGGGGCGGGAAGAGGGAGTAGAGGGGTGAAGGCAGGACGGGGACGCAGGGCAGGAGAGGCGGGGCGCAGGGCAGGAGAGGCGGGGCGCAGGGCAGGAGAGGCGGGGCGCAGGGCAGGAGAGGCGGGGCGCAGGGCAGGAGAGGCGGGGCGCAGGGCAGGAGAGGCGGGGCGCAGGGCAGGAGAGGCGGGGCGCAGGGCAGGAGAGGCGGGGCGCAGGGCAGGAGAGGCGGGGCGCAGGGCAGGAGAGGCGGGGCGCAGGGCAGGAGAGGCGGGGCGCAGGGCAGGAGAGGCGGGGCGCAGGGCAGGAGAGGCGGGGCGCAGGGCAGGAGAGGCGGGGCGCAGGGCAGGAGAGGCGGGGCGCAGGGCAGGAGAGGCGGGGCGCAGGGCAGGAGAGGCGGGGCGCAGGGCAGGAGAGGCGGGGCGCAGGGCAGGAGAGGCGGGGCGCAGGGCAGGAGAGGCGGGGCGCAGGGCAGGAGAGGCGGGGCGCAGGGCAGGAGAGGCGGGGCGCAGGGCAGGAGAGGCGGGGCGCAGGGCAGGAGAGGCGGGGCGCAGGGCAGGAGAGGCGGGGCGCAGGGCAGGAGAGGCGGGGCGCAGGGCAGGAGAGGCGGGGCGCAGGGCAAAAAGAGGCGGGGCGCAGGGCAGGAGAGGCGGGGCGCAGGGCAGGAGAGGCGGGGCGCAGGGCAGGAGAGGCGGGGCGCAGGGCAGGAGAGGCGGGGCGCAGGGCAGGAGAGGCGGGGCGCAGGGCAGGAGAGGCGGGGCGCAGGGCAAAAGAGGCGGGGCGCAGGGCAGGAGAGGCGGGGCGCAGGGCAAAAAGAGGCGGGGCGCAGGGCAGGAGAGGCGGGGCGCAGGGCAAAAAGAGGCGGGGCGCAGGGCAGGAGAGGCGGGGCGCAGGGCAGGAGAGGCGGGGCGCAGGGCAGAGAAAGTGAGGGCAGGAGGAGTGGCACAGATGAGGAGTGATGGACAGGGCCCAGGCAGAGGTGGTCAGTGGAACGCATGGCAGGCAGCAGGCAGACAGCCATGCAAGCAGGCGGGCAAGCGTGAAAGCATACCAGCGTTTGAATGCAGCAGAAAACAAGCATGGATGCAAAATGGGGTAGCGAAGGCAGTGCAGCAGGCACAGGCATAAACACGCAGAGCGAAGAGCGTGGCGTTGGTGGCCTCTAGGCAGTAGTCCAGCTCGCCGTACAGCCCCCTCCCAAACTCGTCCGCCTGCTAATGTCGCGAGTAAGCAAGCATGCAAGCAGGCAGGCAGGCAGGCAGGCAGGCACACACAGACGGCAAGGAGAGCAGTAGAAAGAGCAGCAGGGAGCAGAACTGACAGCGAAGAGGGTGGCGTTGTTAGCCTCCTGTCGGTAATCGAGCTCGCCATACAGCCCCCTCCCAAACTCGTCCGCCAACGCTGCCAGGTCCGTGTTTATTCCTGCCACGCGCCTCACTGCCCGCAGCTGAAAGGGGTGGAAGGGGGGCAGGGGAGGGAGGGGAAAGGGAGTGACGGCACAGAACAGAAGCAGGCATGTGAGATGGTGCGCAAGGTGAGGGAAGTGAGAGTAGGCAATGGGTGTGACAGGTGAACACATAGGCAAAGAGCACGCAAAACGGAGAAGAGAGGGCTGACCAGCATGCGCAGGATGTGGATGTCTCTGGCGACGAGGAAGAGCACTCGCGGCCGCTGCACCTTCACCGCCACTCGCATGCCGTCCCGTGTTCGCCCCTTGTACACCTGTGGTGGTGGGTGGGTGGGGACACATACCGGCACATGGATACATGATCTTGGCGGGTGAAGGCATGGGGGCGCGTGCGTGCAATAGCAAAGCACAAAGCAGTGCTTCTGCCACCCGACACACCTTCGCTGCCGCCACTTGTGCTGCTGCGCTCCTGCTCCCTCGCTCTCACCTGCCCAAAACCCGAAACCCACACCTCCTGCGCTCTCAGCTCACCTGCCCGAATGAAGCCGCTGCAACGGGCGTGGGCGAGAGCAGGGGAAGAGCGCAGCAGCGGGGCGGCCCAGCTCCCTCTCGATGACGGCCATGGCGTCTTCCGAGGGGAACGCTGGTAGACGGTCCTGCAGCTCTGCCAATACCTGGGGTTGGGGGAGGGGGATTAGGCATGGCACAAGGGTGTGAGAGCTGGGACACCCCAGTCGAGCTCCCTCTCCATGACGGCCATGGCATCTTCTGATGGGAACGCTGGTAGACGGTCCTGCAGCTCTGCCAATACCTGGGGTTGGGGGAGGGGGATTAGGCATGGCACAAGGGTGTGAGAGCTGGGACACCCCAGTCGAGCTCCCTCTCCATGACGGCCATGGCATCTTCTGATGGGAACGCTGGTAGACGGTCCTGCAGCTCTGCCAGTACCTGGGGTTGGGGGAGGGGGATTAGGCATGGCACAAGGGTGTGAGAGCTGGGACACCCCAGTCGAGCTCCCTCTCCATGACGGCCATGGCATCTTCTGATGGGAACGCTGGTAGACGGTCCTGCAGCTCTGCCAATACCTGGGGTTGGGGGAGGGGGATTAGGCATGGCACAAGGGTGTGAGAGCTGGGACACCCCAGTCGAGCTCCCTCTCCATGACGGCCATGGCATCTTCTGATGGGAACGCTGGTAGATGGTCCTGCAGCTCTGCCAATACCTGGGGTTGGGGGAGGGGGATTAGGCATGGCACAAGGGTGTGAGAGCTGGGACACCCCAGTCGAGCTCCCTCTCCATGACGGCCATGGCATCTTCTGATGGGAACGCTGGTAGACGGTCCTGCAGCTCTGAAAATACCTGGGGTTGGGGGAGGGGGATTAGGCATGGCACAAGGGTGTGAGAGCTGGGACACCCCAGTCGAGCTCCCTCTCCATGACGGCCATGGCATCTTCTGATGGGAACGCTGGTAGACGGTCCTGCAGCTCTGCCAGTACCTGGGGTTGGGGGAGGGGGATTAGGCATGGCACAAGGGTGTGAGAGCTGGGACACCCCAGTCGAGCTCCCTCTCCATGACGGCCATGGCATCTTCTGATGGGAACGCTGGTAGACGGTCCTGCAGCTCTGCCAATACCTGGGGTTGGGGGAGGGGGATTAGGCATGGCACAAGGGTGTGAGAGCTGGGACACCCCAGTCGAGCTCCCTCTCCATCACGGCCATGGCATCTTCTGATGGGAACGCTGGTAGACGGTCCTGCAGCTCTGCCAATACCTGGGGTTGGGGGAGGGGGATTAAGCATGGCACAAGGGTGTGAGAGCTGGGACACCCCAGTCGAGCTCCCTCTCCATGACGGCCATGGCATCTTCTGATGGGAACGCTGGTAGACGGTCCTGCAGCTCTGCCAATACCTGGGGTTGGGGGAGGGGGATTAGGCATGGCACAAGGGTGTGAGAGCTGGGACACCCCAGTCGAGCTCCCTCTCCATGACGGCCATGGCATCTTCTGATGGGAACGCTGGTAGACGGTCCTGCAGCTCTGCCAATACCTGGGGTTGGGGGAGGGGGATTAGGCATGGCACAAGGGTGTGAGAGCTGGGACACCCCAGTCGAGCTCCCTCTCCATGACGGCCATGGCATCTTCTGATGGGAACGCTGGTAGACGGTCCTGCAGCTCTGCCAATACCTGGGGTTGGGGGAGGGGGATTAGGCATGGCACAAGGGTGTGAGAGCTGGGACACCCCAGTCGAGCTCCCTCTCCATGACGGCCATGGCATCTTCTGATGGGAACGCTGGTAGACGGTCCTGCAGCTCTGCCAATACCTGGGGTTGGGGGAGGGGGATTAGGCATGGCACAAGGGTGTGAGAGCTGGGACACCCCAGTCGAGCTCCCTCTCCATGACGGCCATGGCATCTTCTGATGGGAACGCTGGTAGACGGTCCTGCAGCTCTGCCAGTACCTGGGGTTGGGGGAGGGGGATTAGGCATGGCACAAGGGTGTGAGAGCTGGGACACCCCAGTCGAGCTCCCTCTCCATGACGGCCATGGCATCTTCTGATGGGAACGCTGGTAGACGGTCCTGCAGCTCTGCCAATACCTGGGGTTGGGGGAGGGGGATTAGGCATGGCACAAGGGTGTGAGAGCTGGGACACCCCAGTCGAGCTCCCTCTCCATGACGGCCATGGCATCTACTGATGGGAACGCTGGTAGACGGTCCTGCAGCTCTGCCAATACCTGGGGTTGGGGGAGGGGAATTAGGCATGGCACAAGGGTGTGAGAGCTGGGACACCCCAGTCGAGCTCCCTCTCCATGACGGCCATGGCATCTTCTGATGGGAACGCTGGTAGACGGTCCTGCAGCTCTGCCAGTACCTGGGGTTGGGGGAGGGGGATTAGGCATGGCACAAGGGTGTGAGAGCTGGGACACCCCAGTCGAGCTCCCTCTCCATGACGGCCATGGCATCTTCTGATGGGAACGCTGGTAGACGGTCCTGCAGCTCTGAAAATACCTGGGGTTGGGGGAGGGGGATTAGGCATGGCACAAGGGTGTGAGAGCTGGGACACCCCAGTCGAGCTCCCTCTCCATGACGGCCATGGCATCTTCTGATGGGAACGCTGGTAGACGGTCCTGCAGCTCTGCCAATACCTGGGGTTGGGGGAGGGGGATTAGGCATGGCACAAGGGTGTGAGAGCTGGGACACCCCAGTCGAGCTCCCTCTCCATGACGGCCATGGCATCTTCTGATGGGAACGCTGGTAGACGGTCCTGCAGCTCTGCCAATACCTGGGTTTGGGGGAGGGGGATTAGGCATGGCACAAGGGTGTGAGAGCTGGGACACCCCAGTCGAGCTCCCTCTCCATGACGGCCATGGCATCTTCTGATGGGAACGCTGGTAGACGGTCCTGCAGCTCTGCCAATACCTGGGGTTGGGGGAGGGGGATTAGGCATGGCACAAGGGTGTGAGAGCTGGGACACCCCAGTCGAGCTCCCTCTCCATGACGGCCATGGCATCTTCTGATGGGAACGCTGGTAGACGGTCCTGCAGCTCTGCCAGTACCTGGGGTTGGGGGAGGGGGATTAGGCATGGCACAAGGGTGTGAGAGCTGGGACACCCCAGTCGAGCTCCCTCTCCATGACGGCCATGGCATCTTCTGATGGGAACGCTGGTAGACGGTCCTGCAGCTCTGCCAATACCTGGGGTTGGGGGAGGGGGATTAGGCATGGCACAAGGGTGTGAGAGCTGGGACACCCCAGTCGAGCTCCCTCTCCATGACGGCCATGGCATCTTCTGATGGGAACGCTGGTAGACGGTCCTGCAGCTCTGCCAATACCTGGGGTTGGGGGAGGGGGATTAGGCATGGCACAAGGGTGTGAGAGCTGGGACACCCCAGTCGAGCTCCCTCTCCATGACTGCCATGCCATCTTCTGATGGGAACGCTGGTAGACGGTCCTGCAGCTCTGCCAATACCTGAGAAGTGAAGGTGGGACCGGGGTGGGAAGGGAGAGGGGGGGTAGGCACAGCACAAGGATGTGAGAGGTGGAGCTGGAGGGGCAGGAACCTGCACCTCAACAAGCTTCCTCTTTAACACCAACATGGCGTCCTGCGATGGGAACGCTGGTAGGCGATCCTGCAGCTCCGCCAATACCTGGTGGGGGGAGGGTAGTTAGGCGCAACACAAGGATGTGAGAGGCGGAGTGGCAGGAACTCACACCTTAGTCGAGCTCCCTCTCGATGACAGGCGGTCCTGTAGCTCTGCTAGCACCTGCTGGATGAGGGGGAGACGGGGGGGGAGGAGTGGGGAGAGACAGGGGAGGGGAGGGAGGAGGGGTGGGATGGAGGGAAGACGGGACTCAAGCGCAACACAAAGACGTGCGGCCAGGGGACGGATCATGAGTCGCGGGGACAGGGGGGTGAGGGAGGAAAAGGGAGTTGGACTGAAACGAGCATCAGCCACCCGAGCCTTCACAGCTTTGCAGGAACGAGAACCCCAGGCCCGAACTACAAAAACCTCCCAACAACCCCCCCCCACACTCCCTCTTGACGGCCCTTCCCCCGCACACACTTGTTTTCCCACGCCCCTGCCTCTCACCTTGGCAGTGTCTGGCCCCACCACGTCCGGCCGTGCTGACAGCGACTGCGCCACTGGGGACAGGAGGGAGGGAGTAGGGGTGAAGGGGCCGGGAGGTCGGAGAGGAGGAGAGGATGGTGGGATGAGTGGTACTGGAGGGTAGAGGGAAGGGAATGCATGGTTCCGGGGGCACAGCTCAGGTGCATTCCTCGGGTGACATGGTGACGGTGGCAGCTGTGGGGGCTTGCATGAGGAGGCATGTGCGTGCGCACCCTACCTTTGATGAAGGTGGGGCGGGCATGAGACATGGGGCATGATGTGAGGTGGGTGCCCCTCTCACCCTTTATGAACGTGGGCCCGAGGCGCAGCAGCGTGCGCTTGAGTTTGAGTGCGCTGTGCTGGCGGATAGCTGCGATGCGCTCGTCCCCCGCACTCACTCCCCCCGCCTCCCTCGCCCGTATGGCGCCCGTGTCCCGAGCCACCTGCACCCACGTCGCTGCTAGTAGCACTGATATCTGTGTGGGTGACGTTAGAGGGAGGCAGCGAGGGGTAGTGGGCAAGTGTGGCAGAGCAGGCGAGCAGCAAAAGTTAAGAGCAGCAACTCAATGCCTGTATGGCGCCTTTATCCCTTGCCACCTGCACCCACGTCGCTGCCAGCAGCACTAATATCTGTGTGAGGAGGGAGGGCAATGGGGACCAGTGGGGAAGGGGAGGGCGGGCGAGGGTGTGATAGTAGAAGGGGTGACAGTGAGAAAGAGCGTGGGGCAGTGGGGGGAAGAGGGGGAAGCGGGGGGCAGTGGGAGAGAGTGTGGGCCATTCATGGTTACGGTTTGAGCAATGCAGCTAGTCCATCCATGTGCATGCCCACGGGCGCAACTTGAGGGTGCGCAGGAGCACGATGTGGCGAGTGAGGGAAAGTGTGGGTCAGTGGGGGTGAGAGGGGGTGAGAGGGGGAAGCACCCATGCGCATGGCCCACGGGCGCACCTTGAGGGTGCGCAGGAGCACGATGTGCGGGCGGCGGTTGAAGTAGTGTGCCACGTCAGCAGGGTCGTACTCGTACTGCAGCGGAACGCGCCAGCTCTCCGCCCACCACCGCGCCACCTCCCCCAGCGCGCGCACGTACCTCGCGTCCCCCGCCAGTATCCCGCGCGCGCTCGCCCGCGCGGACGCTGCGCGGGGCATACGGCGATGGAGAGGGGGGAGTGGCGGGGAGAGGCGGGGGGAAGGGAGAAAGGGATTGAGGCAGACGCGGGCGCCGTGAGGGCTAGAAGGTGCGATACGCGCTGTAGCAATGTGAGCAAGTGCGCGACGGACTGGCGGGGCAATTGCGCAGCGGGATAGCGGAACGGGTGCGCAGCGGGACCGCGGGGAGCGAATGCGCGCGCACCGGGGTATTTGGGCGGAAGCGGAGGCATGGGCCGGCGGACGGCGGTCTCGTCTTCGAGGAAGCGCAGCTCGACGACGTCGCGCACCCACCCCGCCCACGACCAGTGCGACAAAAAGCTATCCTCCTCCTCCTCCTCTTCCCCTTCCCCTTCGAAACCTGCTTCCTCCGCCGCCGATCGCTCCCGCGTCGCCCTCTCGTCGTCACTTAACTCCTTCAATATCTCTTCTGCGCTCGTCTCCCGCCCTTCCGCTGCCCTCCGCGCCGATCCGTCCCCGCGCGCGGTCTGCGCCGATCGTTCCCCGGCCAGTCCCGCGTCTGTTCGTCTCTCGCTCGAGCCGCCCTCCGATGCAGTCGTCGCTTCCACGACCGGGCTCGCCCTGGCTTGACACGTGGCATCGGGCCGCGGAGACACCGATGGTTGAGGCAACGATGGACTAAAGAGCGATGGGTACTGAACCCCACGCATTCGGCTTCCTGAACTTAATCTACTCGCATTACGCTTCCGATTTTCGTGTAGAGACGACGACGCTACGGCAGACTGCCGTTGTGCATTCCGATGCGGCTGCGAACCGCCTTCTAGTCGCGGCGCGGTCCCTCGTGCCTGGAGCGGATCCCATACTGCTTGCCGCAATCGACGGCGCGGCGCGAGCAGGCCGCGTGGTTCTATGCAGGGAGCGCGGCTCACGGACAGCGTTACTCCGACGCGGTCGTGCATTGCGCTCGCCGTAGCGGATATCAGTACTCGAGAGGAAAACGATGCACGGGTATCGCGAGGTATCAGTGAACACCTAGCCTTACAATCGATCGTCACGGCTTCAGACTCGGCATGCTCGAACAAGCTCCTGTCATCGCTAATGCTGGAGATGCGTTAATAGCTCCCAACTTCGTAACGCGTATAAGCTGCTGCTGATTATGCTATCACGCACCATGCAGTCTCTAGACCGTGCAATGCAACCTCGATGGATGGAATCTAGGAGCCCGCTGCGGAACGCGGTGGGCCACAGGGTGGTGGCGCGGCCTGACACGTGTCAAACGTGAAGTGGCACGAACTGCCAATCGACCAGTCTGTTCCGCCTGATAGGGCATATATAAATCCGATAAACGCGCCATAGTGTACACATATTTTACACTCTAACATATAAGCAAACAGCCCACTCAGAACTAACTATGGGACCTTGAAAAATCGTTTGATCGACATCTGGTTGCCAGCTTCAAAAACCTCAGATTCCGTTTTTCTACGCTTAGGCGCCATTCCAGAACCCTTTGCCCCTTTAGCATGTCGTTTCGTAGACACAGGAGATCTTAGCTTGGAAGAAGTGACGGTCGCAGCAACAGGGGAAGCAGAAGCAGGACCTGGTGGGTGCTGCTCGGACTGTGAGGAGGATTGAGAAGCGTGGGTGCGCATATCCTGGGGAATAGGTGTCACAGGGACCAGCACTTCAGCCAAGCCTCTCTCACTGCACCGCTCACCACCACCCTCTTCTTTCTCATTGCCACTGGAACCATCCTTGGCTTGCTCCTCACTCGCCCCATCACCTACATTAGCCCGAGCCCCAGCCTCCACTGGTGCTTCCTGCACCCCCGCCGGCTGTTTCTCCTCCTGTATACTGCCTCCCTCCTCACTTTTCACTTCGTGCCCTTCTCTCTCTGCACCTCCTCCTGTCTCCGCTTCTTGCCTGTCCACCCCTCCTGTGCACACCACATCAGTGGGTGGCGGTTTTTGTCTCTTGCGAGCGAAGAGCTGGGTGATTGGGGTGGATGCGAGCGCCGGCTTCAATGCAATCTGCACAGCAGCGGGCAGTGGGAGAATGGGGGGCAACCATACGGGGTGCAGCAGACACACCAGTCCAGATACGGCAAAACAAGTGGCAGTTAGAGGAACAATGCCTGCCGGCCATCTGCTTCCTCCCAGCCCACCAGGCAACCAGTAATGGTGAATCTACCCCCATCCCCTTCCTCTACACAACCATGCACCCATCCCCCTTCTCCCTCCCGCCCATCCCTTAGCATTTGCGTGATCTCACCGGCTGCACACACTGCGGGCCGTCGAAGGCCGGCTTGCCCACTTCTGGCGTCACTGCGTGCCACACCTGCCACGCGGGGGAGGTGAGCGGGGTTAAAGGGGGGAGGGGGGAGACGGTGATCAAGATAGAGCCGTGCAAAATAGAGCAGAACGGACAGGCAGGCAGGCAGGCGGGCAGGCAGGCAGAGAAGGATGGGACGAGGGCAACAGCAGGAGAGTGGTGTGGTACGGACCAGGTCGGGGTGGTTGTAGGGCGAGCAGCACTGGGTGATGGCGTCAGGCCCTGAGAGCTTGCCGTGCAGCCAGGCTGTGATGTGGTGCTGTGATGGCAGGATGGCCGGCATGCGGTCTGATGGGGGGAGTGGGATGGAGAGAAGGGGGAGGAGAGGGGGAGCATCACTCAGCATTGAAGCCATGCTGTGATGTGGTGCTGTGATGGCAGGATGGCCGGCAAGCGGTCTGATGGGGGAGAGGGGAGAGTGAACGGGTGAGCAGTGCACAGCTAAGGGAGAAGCTTGACGAGTGGATTCGGGCATGCAATGAAAGGTGTGATGGGACGACGAAAAGCATGCGGCCTGATGGCAGGCAGGAAGGGCGGGGGGGAAAGGCGATCAGCGCACAGCAAGGGGAAACGAGGTGAAGCTCAAAGAGTGAGGGTGGCACGGCAGGGGCGGCAGGGGGTCAGGCTGGGAGGGAAGGAGGGCAGCTAGCCTCACCATGTAACCATGTTAGCATGAGTGGGAATGGGTGGTGGTTGTGTCACCATGTAATGTAACCATGTTACCATGGTGGAAGTGGGTGGTGGTTGGCTCACCATGCAGCCACTGCAGGCGCTGTGAAGCCGCCGTTGTGACTATTGTGAAGGTGAACAGTCGCTCGCCTGCCGTTGCAGCGAAAAAGGCATCAGGAACGACAGCCAGATGAAGTGTCGAGGGAGTGAGGAAAGAGATGGCGAAACGCATAGATTGAGGAGTGTAAATGGGTGGAAGCGAGCTACTCTTGTGCGTGTGGAAGTGCATGAATAGACTTGAACAAGGACAACTCCATTCAGCAAAAGGTCCTGCCGTTCTCGCCCCTCCACGCACAATTGTGCCTTGTCGGCTCACCCCCAACCGTGTGCAATACCCCTTCTCCCCCTCTCACCTTGTGCGTCACGCCAGCAGTCAAACAGTCCCGCCATCACCATCGGCCTCCCTCCGTTCCCCCGACTCATTGCGCTTGCTGTCTCCCCCAGCCCCCCACCGTGCATGTCTTACCAACCCCCCCACCTCTCACCCTGCGCGTTGTTCCAGCAGTCAAACAGCCCGGCCATCACCATTCCCCTCCCCACCCCTTTCCCCCACTCTTTGTGCTTGTTGCCTCCCCTTCCCCCGTCCCCAACTCACCCTGCGCATCACGCCAGCAGTCAAACAGCCCGGCCATCACCATCGGCCTTTCCCCGTTCCCCTCACTGGCTGCGCTTGCTGTCTTCCCCAGCCCCCCACCATGCTTGTCATTCCCCCCCCCCCCACCAACTCACCCTGCGCGTCACGCCAGCAGTCAAACAGCCCCGCCATCACCATCGGCCTCCCGTCACTCATGTGGATGTAGAACGGCTGCTTCTTGGAACCTTCCTTCTTCCACTCGTAGAACCTGGCATCGGGAGAGGGGTAGGATGGAGGAGTGAGAAGGCATCCCATGTTAAACTGACTGCAGGTAGTATCTGCATCCTTCCCACGCCCCTCATACCTCCCATGCCTTCTCACTCCCCACGCGCCTCACCCCTTCTCACCCCCTCACATCCCTTGCACCCCTCTCTCTCACCCCTCCCACCCTCCCTCTCAACCCTCCCACCATTTCTCTCACCCCTTCCCCCCACCCCTCTCTCTCACACCTTCCCCCCACCCCTCTCTCTCACACCTTCCCCCCACCCCTCTCTCTCACACCTTCCCCCCACCCCTCTCTCTCACACCTCCCCTCCCACCCCTGTCGCTCACCCCTCCAGCAGCACGACGCAGCGCTGGGAGGGCAGCAGGCGGCAGAAGGATGGCTTGGCGTGCAGCGACTCACACCGCGCATTGAACTGGGTGTGGGGGGGGGGGGGGGGGGGGGGGGGGGGGGGGGGTGGCGGGGAAGAGGAGGTGGGGGGTGAGGGACAGGGGGAAAGACGGGTGGGGGTGAGAAGGCGGAAGGACGGCTTGGCGTGCAGCGACTCACAGCGCGCGTTGAACTGGGTGGTTGGAGAGGCGAGCAAGGGGGGAAGGGGGGAGCAAGGTGTGGGGAAAGAGGTGAGTGAGGGGGAAGGAGAGAGGAGGTTGCGGGGAGAAAGCGGAGAGGAGGGGACGAGGGGGTAAGGAGAATTGGGAAATAGACAGGAAAGAATTGGGGGAAGAGGGACAGCTGGCACATGAAGCGAGTCACTGCATTTCACGCCAATGTGTGCATTGATTGACCGTCATCCCCATGGCCAACTTCCCACCCCGACCACACCAACCGTCACACCACCATGCGCAAGTGGTCGCTCGCGCGGCTCACAGCACTGCGTGATGGACCCCCATCCCCATTAACTGCCCACCCCCATCCCCATCCCCACCCCCACCCCCACCCCCACCCCCCACCCCCATCCCCACCCCCACCCCCACCCCCACCCCCACCCCCACCCCCACCACCATCACACCATGCGGAAGTGGTCGGGCGGCTGTGCCTTGCTGCAGAACGACGGCACCAGCCCCCACTTCATCACCTGCACCTCCCGCTCTTCCCCCTCCGCCTGCCCCTTCCGCTCCCCCTCCGCCTGCTCCCATTGCGCCTGCCCCTTCCCCTCCCGTTTCCCCTCCGCCTGCCCCTTCCGCTCCTCCTCAGCCTGCTCCTCCCCTTCTCCCTCCGCTTGATGTTCCTGCTCCGCTTCTCCCCCCTTCACTCTCTCTTCCCCGGCCTCCTCCTGCGCGCGCCCCTCTTCGTGGGCCTCTTCCGCCTCCGCGCAGCTCTCCGCGGCTCCTTCCGATTCCGCAGGGGCCAACTTGGCGGAAGCGGAAGCAGCGTGCTGGGAGGCGGACGGGGTGGCGGAAGCGGCGGCGCGGACGACGGGCAGAAAGGTGCCGGGCGCGACGTTGAAGGATGGGCGGAACCTGTCGGCGCGCGGAGCACAGACAAGCGCGGGCGCAGAGGCGGGCACATGCTATGAGTTGGGGGAGACGGCGCATGAGCCACGCGGCGCGCTGAATAAGCTAATGAAACGATGCGCGATGCGACAACGAAGCGACGTGAGCGACGACGACCGGTAAACGAGACGAGAGCGAGTAAAGAGAGGAACGTAGGCACCGCGGTGCGCCTGCTTCTCCGTGAGCCATGCCAGATCGAGATTCGAGAAATATGGGGGAAAGGGGTGCATGTCGCTTAAAAACGAGGCGATGGAGGCAAGAGTCGCGGATCACGCACAGATGCTGGTCGCGCCAGTCGGGCCGCGCGCCGGTCGCGCGTGTGACCGCGTCTGGCGACAGCGTGCAACGCGCGCGCCCGCACATCGCGGCGACGTCTGAACCGACCGCCTAAGGAAATAGAGACGGAGGACGAAATCGTCAACCGCGTTGGCTGGAAATCTAAGAAATCGCCGTCTTGATTAGAAAGAGTGGATTGGCGAAGCCGTCGCAATCGTCTGTCAGTTTCAAATTTCAACCTGGGCGACACGGTTGTGTGCTACACTGCTGCCTGGTGTGATGTCGTCAAGGTGACGGCACGTCGGGGAAGGATTCTGTTCTGGCCGAGACAGTTGCAGAATTGGCGCCAAGCTTCTTTTGTTCCTGTGGCGGGGAAGTGAGAACGTGGGTGGTGGTGGTGGTGGCGACTGTATTGCCCCTGACTATGATCCGCTTTAGAGGAATTCAGTGTGAATCGTTACAGCGGATATCGGAAAGGCTCCGATGGATAGAGGTTATGGTTTCCCACTTCAGGCCCAAGTCGAAATCATAAACCCCAGGTAACTCAAACTAACGCGGCGATGAATTTCTCATTCCTAACGCGTACATCAAATTCCTTGTTTCCCATTTCCGGCGTGCTCTGCCATTTTGTGGCGTGCTTGGCGGCGTTCTTCCCGGGACCTGGCGTGCGGAAAGTCGGTGCGGGAGGTGATTGCGCGGAAGAGCGCGTTGCGCGCGCGGATAGGACGTGCAGGTGCAGGTAATCTCGCGACCAGCACGTGCATCTAGCGCTGGCGAGGAGTCGTAGATCCGCGACAGTCTTCGAGAGTCGTAGGCAGTTGGCGATAGTCGGCGAAAGCCAGCGACGCAAGTGTCAAAAGTCGGAACGGATCGAGAACTTGAGACGGCGCGGTAGAGCATTCGGCGAAAAAAAAATGTGTATCTATTCCCAGCTCGAAAAATATTTGAGGAATGTCCGCGTTTGACGGTAGAGAATGAAAGCCAGGAGACGCGAGTGGTCTTCGCAGTGGGGACGAGCCGATGCGTCACCGAAGGCAGGGTGTCTTGTGGGGCCGCCTGGGTCTATCATTACAGAGCTTGCATTTTGCAATGGCTTGCGTAGCCCATCCAAACTGCGCATTTCCCTCTCTGCCCTGCGCCAACCTCCCCCATCCGCTGACCCTTGAAGCAAATACCCTCTCCCCCGCTCCTCGCTCCCCCTTCCCCTGCGCCAGGCGCGGCGTCATGGCGTCACGCGCGCAGCAGCTGCGGGGGATGCTGGGCCGCACAAGGCGGGCGTGCGCCGTTTCACGGGATTCGTTGCTCTCTGCCACGTGGCATCTCGCGGTTGCGCCGTACGCATCACTGTTAACTACTAGGCCCGCGCATAGCGCAGCAGCACCTAGCGCCGCGGGGAATGCAGCAGCAGCTGGTGGACCAGCAGGCGCAGCAGCACAGGCGGCGGCGCAGTCTTCTTTCCTACAGTCATTTGAGGCCGTTGGTGTGCATCTACAGCTGCAAGCATCCGCACCCGTTAGCCTGCGGTCCCTGGGAGTTTTACACTGCACTTCCCAGTCATCCCTACCCCCCAATGCTCTTCCCCCGTCCCCCGCCCACATGCTGCTCTGTAAACCATGGGGGGTACAGCCTCAGCAGCCCCTGAGTGGATTGCCTTGGGTGAAGCTGGTTGTGGGTGGGAGAGGTACGACTCACTGTCAGCCAGTCGCTGCCTTTCACTCGTGCGCGCAGCCACAGAAGTTGAGCGCCGAGCTGCTCCTCCGCCTGCCACGTGGCATGCAGCCGTTGGTGCTGCGACCAGTGGAAGCAGCAACCGGAGTGCAGCAGGTGAGGTGGGGCTGGGTGGGATAAGGTGGTGTGGGATGGGGTGGGGTGGGATGCAGCAGCTATGTAGGGTGCCTCTGGCTGATTATAGGTTTGGATAGCAGGGAGGTGGGTTGAGTGTGAAAGGTCAGGGCACACATCCAGATTTGGCCCCACCAGGCATGCCCCACCATGCGATGCCCCACCATACGATGCAACACCATGCCATGCCCCCCCACCATACGATGCCCCACCATGCGATGCCCCACCATGCGATGCCCCACCATGCACCGTGCCCCACCATGCGTGCTATGCCCCACCATGCGTGCTATGCCCCACCATGCGTGCTATGCCCCACCATGCGTGCTATGCCCCACCATGCGTGCTATGCTCCACCATGCGTGCTATGCCCCACCATGCGTGCTATGCTCCACCATGCATGCTATGCTCCAAGTACACATTGTACCCATCACCCACTCGCGCCCCCCAACCCCATCTAATGCTTCCAATGCTTCCCCTGCAGCAGCATCGGTGCTACGCCAGCAGCACACATGGCAGCAGCAACAAGGACAGCGGCAGCAGTGGCGGCAGCAGTGGCGGCAGCAGTGGCGGCAGCAGTGGCGGCAGCAGCTGGCGGGAGGTGGTAAGGCAGGAGGAGGAGGACGTGTTCAGCAGCATCACCGACAAGTTTCCCCAACGCCCCATGTCCGCTGCCATGCATGCCATGGCCGGCTCCCAAGCTGCACACTGTACCCACCACCCACACGCTCTCTCCCCCACCCCCTCTCTCTCCCCCCAATTCCTTCCTGCAGCAGCATCGGTGGTATGCCACACAGGGCGGCAGCAGCAGCAGGGGCAATGAGGGAGGCAGCAGCAGGCGGGAGGTGGTACGGCAGGAGGAGGAGGACGTGTTCAGCAGCATCACCGACAAGATCCCTGAACGCCCCGTCTCCGCCGCCGAGGGCGCGTCGTACTCCATCGTCATCCTCGCAGCGCTGGCTGTGGCGGCCGGGGCGGCGTATTTTGTTGTCAAGGAGCTGCTGCTGGAGCCCAAGGAGTGCGTCTGCAAACATGGGGAGGGGAAGTGTGGGAGAAGGAATGGAGGGGTTGCGGATCGCTTGCTTTGCATGTCATTGTGAAAGCATGCGCCTGCGAATTGGCTGTGAGAGGGGTGATGTACTTGGGTACCGCATGTTCATGCCTTGAATTGACGGACTCGTGTGCTTGCTATGCTGCAGATACAAGGTGTTTAATAAGGCCCTTCAGCGCGTGCAGAACGACCCTCAGGTGCGCCCCACATCCGTTTGCGCACATCTTCTTCTGTGCACACCTACAAAGCTGCACAGAACTTTTCACTCTACACTTGACAAATGCTTTCCCAGCTTGTAGCACGTGCTTCAGCTGTTCATTCCCGCCCCATCTCCTGTTTGATATTCGCTCTCCAATGATTCCATCCACTCGCTTATGCTCCATGTGCATGCCATGGAACTGAATCATGCTCTGCCTCGTCATGTGCATCAGGTGATATCACGGCTGGGGTCTCCAATCACGGGGTACGGCCAGGAGAGCCGCAACCGGGCGGCACGGCAGCGAATCAGCCACCGCGTGTGGACGGATGAAGAAGGGGTGGAGCGGATCCAGGTACACCTCGTATGCTGGACCCTGGTGCACAGGTTCCTTTCATTTCGTTCTTTACTTGAGTTTGGTCGCTCGTTGTGGTGTCGCATATCGTCGAGCTGTGTTCCATTGTCCTGCCATCTGTTTGGTGTGCTCATCTGTGGCAGGTTCAATTCCACATCCGAGGTACAGGGGGCACGGGCCTTGTACACGCTGAGATGTTCAAAGACAGTGATGATGGCGGAGCTTGGAAATTCACGTACCTTCTGGTTGATGTAACGAACCCATCTCCAGCAAGGCTCATGTTGGAATCATACGTTCCAACATGACCGCATTATGTTCGTGACAGGTAGAGGTAGCGTGCTTGCGTGTAACATTAGAGGATCCCCTATGTGGAGTATTGGAAATATGACGTAGTATGGAATGCTCAATCTCAACCTAATGAAGATTACTACATGCTTGTGCGTTTGGGTGGTTGTTACGCGTATGACCCCGTTTGTTGACCGCAATTCAAAACATCCACTCGCCACCACATTCAAAAAATTGGAGCACACTCATTCTGTGGCTGAAACAGCACCTGCCAGCCACCAAAACTCCTGGATTGACTCTTCGTGTCGCACTGGAATTTCGCCCCTCAAATTTTCAACAAACCCCGCCAAACCGGCATCTCGACCTGACAGTGCCACCGTGGCATCCCTGACCCCGACGCCAATAAAAATCCCCGCGGCTCGCTGTTGCCGTGAGTGTCTGTCGCCAGAGCAATTCGAACATCGCTTCCCCCTGGGCTGGTCGCGGCTCGTAACTTCCCCCTCATCGCGACCCGGATGTGTGTAGCTCAGAGACCATCTTCCCCCATCTCTCTCCGCCTGCCCCCCATATCCCTCTCATGATTGGCCCAAGTCTCCGCAGAAGCCCCAGTGTGGCGGACCTATTGGGCATTTATCTTGGCGGTAACATCATCGGGCTCGATTGCACGCGAGTTAAGCCACGTGTCTAAATCGTAACAAAAGTATCTTCTGGTTGCCTACATGGTAACCAACATTGCACATCTGGTCACCATTTTTTCCAGACTGGTAATGAACAGCGCATTCCGATTTCCAAACTGGTAACTCGTCGAAACAACCGTGATGTACACCGTACGTACCTTGTATGACTCGGATTCGAACGTACAACACAACCAAGCTCCAGTCAAAGCATAATTCCCTTGCCCAAATCGTCCCGCTACCTCCGAACCCTAATCACACCAACAAGTTGTCACCCTCGTGAGCGCTGATCTGTCGACTATGGAGCGCAGCGCCCCATATAGGTATGTTTCCGACCCGTGGTCTTCACGCCGTATTCATTGTAGTGTGCCCTTATATTTCCGTACACGAGCATGGCGCCGCAATCAGCGCTGCGCCATGCAGCCAAGCATGGCGCAGCCCACAAATGCGCCATGCCAAGGCATGGCGCCACAATCGGGGCTGCGCCATGCAGCCAAGGCATGGCGCAGCCCGCAAATGCGCCATGCCAAGGCATGGCGCAGCCCGCAAATGCGCCATGCCAAGGCATGGCGCCATAATCGGGGCTGCGCCATGCAGCCAAGGCATGGCGCAGCCCGCAAATGCGCCATGCCAAGGCATGGCGCCACAATCGGGGCTGCGCCATGCAGCCAAGGCATGGCGCAGCCCGCAAATGCGCCATGCCAAGGCATGGCGCCACAATCGGGGCTGCGCCATGCAGCCAAGGCATGGCGCAGCCCGCAAATGCGCCATGCCAAGGCATGGCGCCACAATCGGGGCTGCGCCATGCAGCCAAGGCATGGCGCAGCCCGCAAATGCGCCATGCCAAGGCATGGCGCCACAATCGGGGCTGCGCCATGCAGCCAAGGCATGGCGCAGCCCGCAAATGCGCCATGCCAAGGCATGGCGCCACAATCGGGGCTCCGCCATGCAGCCAAGGCATGGCGCAGCCCGCAAATGCGCCATGCCAAGGCATGGCGCCACAATCGGGGCTGCACCATGTAGCCAAGGCATGGCGCAGCCCCCAAATGCGCCATGCCAAGGCATGGCGCCACACTCGGGGCTGCGCTATGCAGCCAAGGCATGGCGCAGCCCGCAAATGTGCCATGCATGTAGCAATGTTTGCAACATTTTTATGTCTCGTTCGTTCATTTTTAGGGCATGGCGCAGCAGGCGGACCAACAGCGGGCGGTTCAGCAGCGCGTGTGGCTGCAGCAGATGGGTATGCATTGGCAGGGAGTTAGAGTCCCTATGCCGGAGTCAGGGATTGCCACATCTTATAATGTGGGTGGCATGTATAGAGGGGTTGACACACCACGAGAAGGGTTGTATTGGCAATACCCATGGACTGTGCCCATCCAGTCACACATGAATCAGCAATGGCCATCGTATGGAGCGCCATTCCACCCCATACAAGTTGCGGACGGTGGTGCTGCAGGTGGACAAGGTGGAATTGAATTCTCTGCAGAACAGGTTGAAGAACATGAGTAGACCCACTGTTGAGCTAAAGCTCATGCATTCATCGTGAACAACAGATCGCCATGATCTCAAGCATTTTGGGCTTGTAGTGACTAAAGGGGGGTTCCAACACATGTGCATTTTAAGTACTTTGCATGCAGTATAGGTACCTGTTTGCAATTTATATTTTTTTTAACCTATAACATGGACAAAACCAGTACCCTAAACTGCACGTAATGGCAGGTATCCTACCACGCCGCATTTTATGATGTTTGTCAAATACGGTACTACGGACGGTAACATGTTTGATTTCCAGATATGTTGTTTATATTTATAAGAAACGAGTACTGCACTTGTGTAGACACAGTATTCACAATCTATTTTAATCACGTAATCCCTAATCAACGTGTAAAAATGATTTATCGTTTTCCTATCATTTACAAATGTACAAGTTATAAACGTGAAATTAGGTCATAAATGTTACAATGCGAAGCAAATATCCATACCATATTTCGTTTTGCCGAGTCATACAAGGTACGTACGGTGTACATCACGGTTGTTTCAACGAGTTACCAGTTTGGAAATCGGAATGCACTGTTCATTACCAGTCTGGAAAAAATGGTGACCAGATGTGCAATGTTGGTTACCATGTAGGCAACCAGAAGATACTTTTGTTACGATTTAGACACGTGGCTTACCTCGCGTGCAATCGAGCCCGATGAGTGTTACCGCCGAGATAAATGCCCGGACCTATTAGCAGCGTCGGGGGACAGACCAGCGGAAATTCTAGGGACCGCAGGCATGGGCGCAAGCGATCAGAACGGCTTGATGCGCGGATGGATGCCCGTCAGGCGTCAACGACGACATCAGGCGAGGCACGGCAGTCCCAGGGGCAGACAGAGCAGGCAGTTGGGTTTCGGCTCAGACAGAACCCGCAGAGACGAACAACGGAGCGCGTCGCTTGCGCTGTCGCCGTCGACTACTTTTGATGCTTCGAGAATTCGCAGTGCGACCGCTGGTGGTGGTGGCGTGCTGTGTGGCGTCGTGCCTTTGGCACAGCGTTTGGTCCTTGCAGAGCAGCCATGGTCAGGAACACGCAGCTTGGCAACTCCCTAGTGTAGGCATGCTCTGTGCTTCATGTGGGATACAGTCAAAACGAAATCTTGGACGCTATCTCCTTCGTGAGGGGTATTGTCGCAGGAGTGACATCGCTCAGTCAACGGAACCACCCTTTTGCCAGTTGATATTCGAAATGCACAACATTCAGCTAAAAAGCATTTGCTTTTGCGACTTCCCCTCCAGTAATAGCTCGAACAGCAAGCAGTCTGGCTTGCAAATTTCCATGTAGTGCCGCTGGTCGAGCAGCGGTTGCATTTGCAGTCTCGTAACCAGTAGCTCTCATAAAGCGGCACGTTGGCACTTCAGGTAATGGGTCCTAGTATCGCCAGCCCGATAACGCTCCCTGTTCCATCCATAGCACAGTCCGCCTGCAACGCTCCGCGCCCGCCGGGAGCGGGCCATAGCGACGCGCTTAGTCCTCTCCACGCCGCGTCGCTTGGCCCAGCCGCATCGCAGTCAGAGTCCATGGACGTGCGCGGGACACACGCTAGCGCTGACGTGGATCACGAGAGCAACGATCGATGGCAGCAGTGGCAGGAGGAGCGACAGCGGGAAACATCTAGCGCGCTCGAGCCGACTCCTAAAAGGCTACGCGGCTCGTACCGCTGTCGTCGCTGCGGCCAGCCTAAGAAAGGCCACGTGTGCCCGCTGACGTCACCCTCTCCCGCACCGCCGTACGCGCGTCGTCCATGTCAGTCCAATCCGCACCACGCGAACACCCACTCCCATCCGCCCAACCCCTCTTCTTCCGTCGGATGCGGCGACCCGTCGTGCGGCGGCGCGTGTGGCAACTCCCGCGACTGCGGATTCGATTCGCCCAGCGGGATCACCCGCGCGGACGTGCGCAAGCCTGCGTCATGCTGCATGGGGAACATGCAGCCGCTGCGCCTCCCCGACGCTTCCGCCGGGCCAGCGGACTCCGCCAACGCGTACACTGCGGACGGCGGACGCTCCTCCGCGTGCCAGGGCGGGCCGAACGCGCATATAAGCCTCACCGCGCCTGCGCTCACCGCATCGTGCCGCAGCCTCCCCAGGTACTGCAAAGCAGCGCGTGTTGTTGATTAGGCACACGCCATGGCATCCTTCCGTGACGAATTCCAAAAGCCGAATTTTTCTTGTCGGCGTTGCCATAATCCCGAACCCAATCTGCCGTTTTGTCGCATGTCCATGTCCGTTCCACTCATATATAGTCCACTCTGAGGCAGAGTCTCAGCGCCGGAAGTTATTACGGTAATAGATCTCATGACCATGCTCTTCCCGTCTTCATGACCCCTCTCTCCCCGTCTTCGGTCTCTGCACCCGTCCCTCCCATCCGCCAGTCGAAGCGGCTTATCGGATTCCAACTTCTCCTTTCCCGCCGCGCACACCCACGCGCACGGCAACGCGCACGGCGCAATCACCTCGAGAATGGCGCCCCACTGCGCCTCTCCGCACAGCCTTCCGCCGCTCTCCCACTCAAGCCTCCGCCCTGGTCCCCCTGGGTGAGTCCGCTGCTTCTGGCCCCGTTATGCCCACTCTCAATCTCAATCTTCCTCGAGTCAACTCGAGTCAACTCGGGTCTGCTTGCCGCTGGATTCCCTGCCTGTATGCGTGCCTGCCGTCTTGTTTCGCATGTTCTAACGTCGCGCACTGGTGCGTCGTGCAGGGCGAGCGGGCCGGCAGCGGCGGGTTCCGTGCGGCCAGTGGTACAGAGGAGTCCCCAGGATATGTGCATGCTCAACATCCTCGCTAAGGTACTGGCCAATATCCTGGTCAAGTTGCTTGTTCAGGCATTGGCGTCCCTATCAAACCCGTATGTCCCGCCTACAACCCGTAATTTATCATTATTTCCCACGTAATCCGAAACCTCTCCACGTCACGAGTCGCACGCGCCGCCGCTGCCCTTTTCAGCCGTCCCGCGCCCTCCTCTCACTAATCCATTATCCCCCGCGCCTCTCTCCTTTTCAGCTGCCCCCGCGCGACCTGCTGAGCGCGAGCAGCTGCTGTCGGCGGTGGCGGCGGCTAGCGGCGGAGATCTGGAGCAACGTGGAGGCGGCGGCGCTGTCGCTCGACGCGACGCCGTCGCTCGCGACGGACGCGCTCGTCTACGTGCCCTTCATGCTGCGCCGCTGCCCGCGCCTCGTGCACCTCTCGCTGCAAGCCGCTAGGTACGACCTGCTCTGCTCGCGACTCGGCTAGTCTGGTCTCGCCTCCTCTCGTTTTGTCTCGACCCAGCTGCTGTAACTGTCCTCTCTTCTCTCATCGTATCTTCTGACCCAGTTGACTATTTTTTTCTCCGCACTGGCAAGCGTGTTTCAACGGCCTCCGGTTCCCTCTGCTAGCGTAATTCTCACTCTAATCACGCCGCTTCTTCTGCTCCCTTTCCTCTCGTTCTGCTGCTCCTTCGTCGCCAGATGCGTGGACGATCGCCTGCTGCATCGCATAGCCGCCGAGCAGCCGAACCTGGAGTCGCTCGTCATTCGCACGGCGCCCAACGTCGCATGCCACGTCACGGAGTGAGTTGATTATCGCGTGCCATTTCGCGGGGTGACCCAACTTACCAGCAGTACAATCGCCGCACCGCACACGCCGCCTCCCTCCCTGATTCACCGTCTTCCCATCCTCATCTCCATTCTGCCTTTCCCTCCTTCCCTCCTCTCCCTCCACAGCAACGGCATGGCGGAGTTGCTGCATGGTTGCGCGTCGCTGCGCGCCGTGGACTTGGACGGATGCATCGCACTGCCATCGCTCACCGTCGCCTCGCAGTCGTAAGCCTCTCGTCGCCCATCGCAATTGCGTGTCGGCCCCTCGCAGTCGCACCACTCGCCATACCATTCCATGCCGTGACATCACGCCGTGACAGAATGCTTTCCGTACACTGCCAAACCAACATGCTCTAGTCCAGATCGTCCTGTCGTTCCCCCAGCTCACACTCTTCACCTCCATCTCTCCCACCCGCTTCCCATATCTTCCCCTCGTTTCCCTTACTCCAGCTTGACAGCCCTGACGCTCTCCGCCTGCGCGCGCCTCTCGCGCCTCTCCCTCGCATGCCCCGCGCTGCAGCGCCTCTCGCTCTCCCTCCTCCCCGCGCCCGCTCCGCCCTCCGCCGCTCCGCCAGCGCGCACGTGCTCCCAGACGCACGCGCACGCGAACGCGCAGATGAGCGGAGACCCCGCACACGCGGAGGCGGTGATAAGCCACGTGGCAAGCCTCGCGGCGCCTCTCGAGCGCCTGCACATCGCGTCGCCATACACCACCGACTCGGTACGCGCTTTCAGCTCTCGTTGCACGCGCCGCGTCGCATGCTCGCAGTGTGCGCTGCTGCGAGGGCGGTGCTGTCCTCTCCGCGCCTTCCGCCGCACTCCTCCTCTCATGCCGCCTGCTCCTGTCAACCCCCCACTACTCGTCCCCTCGCCCACTCGTCTCCTCGTCTCCTCGTATCCTCGTCTCCTCTCGTCTCATCCCTTCGTCACCTCCATTCTCATGCAATGTCGTCTGTGCGCAGATGGTGGCGGCGCTGGTGCGCGCACACGGGTCGACGCTCTGCGCGCTCTCCATCACACACTCGCTCTCGCTCACCGATGGTACCGCCACTCGCCCTCCCCTTCCCGTCGCGCCCTCTTCCTCTCTCGTTGCCTTGCATCGCGTCCTTCCGCGCCCACCCATTCCCACTCATGCGTCCCCCCCATACCCCCTGTGCGCCCGTCGCCCGTTTCCCCCCATGCGCGCGCATCAGAGGGCGTGGCGGACATCTGTCGCGCCTGTCCGCATCTGCAGCACCTCGACCTCTCCGCCTCTCCCAACGTCTCAGACGCCGCCCTCCACGCCATCAGGTGGGGCGCTGCTGTTGCTTTTGCTTTTGCTATGTGCACTCTCACCCCGCCTCTCTCTCTGTCCCTGCCCGTTCTCTCTCTCATGGACAACACACTCATCAATCTCATTCCTATTCCCCTCTTTCTCTCCCCTCCTCTTCCCCCCACCAGCGCCTCGCTCTCTCACTCCCTCACACACCTCCTCCTCGCCGCCTGCCCTGGCATCACGCCACGTGGCGTGCAGGCATTGGTGCAGCGCCTGCCCAATCTGGAACTACTAGACGTGGGGCGGTCGTTGCTCCCCCGCGCGCCCTCGCCCTCCCCCACCCTCGCCAGCGCCGCCAGCACCACCAGCGCCATAGGCGCAGGGGGAGTGGCGGATGGGTGGAGGGGGAACAGCGGGGGACAGTGGGGGGACGTGGGGGGGGATTATCAGGGGGAGATGGGGATGGGGATGGAGGGGGGAATGGGGGGTGTGGGGGGCGAAGGCAGCAATGGGTACACGGGGGGTGGGGATGGTGGTGGTATGGGGACGTCAAGCGCAACAGGCACGACAAGAGGAGTGGCGGCAGGGGGAGAGGGGCAGAGGTTAGAGCTTCGTAGCAGCAGCCTGAGGAAGCTCAGCCTGTGGGGGTGCTCGCTGTTGCAGGTGAGGGGTGATTGCTTGCTTTTTCAAGGTCCGATGCGGTTATAGAGGGTAGGCGCACCTGAGTGCTCCACATTCTGCTGCTCCCTGCTGTGGTCATGGAAATCCATGTTCTGTGCAATCAAATCATCAATTCATCATGCAGTTTTGTAGTTGAGCCTGACCTGCCTCCCGCTGTGCTTTTTTCCTCGTAATCCTCCCACTGACTCATACCTGTTCCTCTCCAGACGCTTGTGCTGGATTGCCCGCAGCTGGAGCACCTTAATGTAAACTCCTGCACTGCACTGCACCCATCTGCTTACGGCTGCCGCCTCAACTGCCCGTCGCTGCGGTTCATCCTGGCTGTTGGATGCCCTGTGTCGCCTCACACCCTGCTGCGCTCTGCGTACCTTGGGGACCAATCCCCATGCATGGGCGATGGCACGGGCGATGGTTTGGGGGATGGCATGGGGGATGGCATGGGGGATGGCATGGGTGATGGCATGGTTGATGGTACTGAGGATGGTATAGGTGATGGTATGGTTGATGGCATAGGCGATGGGTATGGGGATGATATGGGCGATGGCATGGCTAATGGCATGGGTGATGGTATGGGGAATGGCATGGGCGTCCCTCCCAACGCTTGCTTGGGTGATGACATGGGGGTTGGCATAGGGAATGGCATGGGCAATTGTATGGGGAATGGCATGGGCAATTGTATGGGGAATGGCATGGCCGATAGCATGGGTCCATCTCAAAGCGGGTATGTGGGAGATGGCATGGGGAATGGCATGGATCCATCCCTTGGCTTATATGTGGGAGATGGCATGATGCATGCACAACCAAGTGCGTGGCAACCCCCTTCCCACACGCAGACGGGGAATGGTATGGTAAATGGCATGGGGAATGGCATGGTAAATGGCATGGTAAATGACATGGGTAATGGCATGGGTAATGGCAGCGGATACTGCAACACGGGTGCTGATGGCATGGTGGATGGCATGGCAGGGACTCCGTCCCACATGCACATGCAGACGCAACCACACATGCACCCACATGCACACATGCACATGGGGGGGCAAATGCAGCAGCAGGGGCAGGTGATGGTGTGGGAGTGAGGAGCTGGAGGGGCTACTTTCATGCTAGGTGGCTGGGGTTTCATTACTGAAGCACTGACAAACATAAATGGGTAGATAGAGTAATCAATGAAGCAGTCAATGGGTGGCACGCAAGAAGAATAAATAGGCTGCGTGTATTTTTGAAGTTGCTATACTGCATAGTGCAGGAAGGAATGCTTATATAGGGATAGACATTAGCTAGTCGTACCTAAGTGAAAGGTAGTTGCTTGCTGCCATCCATCTTTTAGTTTCTGGCAATATTGAAATTCCTTCAATATACCTATTGCATCTTGTCACTTGATTTGTGTGATTCAATTCAAAACATGTAGCCTGTGGCAACAGCAATGATTCAAAAAGCTTATGCTACACGTTCTCAGGTTATTGCACAGGAATGCAACACAACACAGCACCTGTGAAAGTTTACTGCATGTTTCCTAACGACAGCGTGATTCCCTCCTAGGTGGCGATAATGTATTCAGGACCGATCTGCCTCACCGTTCGTCCTCGCTCCTGCTCCTTCACGATGTCGTCCAATTTGGGATCCATACGAGAGCACGTTTCCAGCGTGGTCGCATTCGGTGCAGCAGTGTTTAGATCTGTACTAGGAGGATGCAGACAAGGGTCTAGATATCAGAATACTGTCAGAATGAACAAGGGTGTTTGGACTAGCAAGAGGGTTGGGTACAAGTATGAAACCCTAAACTTACTGTACCCCATAGTGTCAGAATCTAGCAGCAGGAATGGATGAACTAACAGGATGCAGGAGTACAAGTAGTAAACCCTAACTAGGTTGTACCCCATATGGGCTACCCCACTACAGCCTAGACAATATGCAGCACATATAGTTTGACACACCCCCATAGGCAAAGTGGGGGAGAACAAGGGGTCACACGACCAGTCAAGAGAAGCAAAACAAGCTCAGGGTGGATCACAACGTCACCACGCATTCTGAGCACAAGCAAAGGGCCACTGGGCCAGTTCACATGCAGAGATATATATGCAGCAATAACAGTACAGTGATGGCTACCTAGCAAGAGCCAGCATGCATATATATATATATATATATATATATATATATATATATGTACAGATCACAGTACAAGCAGAGACTACAGCAAGTGTGGAAACGTAGGCACAAGGCCTAACAGAGTACAAAAGCGCTGATGATCACCAGACGGAAGTGCCTTGGTGAATATGTCAGCAGTGTTGGCCCGAGTGGCCACGTGGCGAAGACGAAGCTGGCCTCGCTGCTGCAACTCTCGAGCCAGGAAGTACCGCAGAGCAATGTGCTTCGTTCTGTGCTCCAGTCTGTGCTCCTCACACAAGGCAATGGCGGCCTTGTTGTCAACGTACAGCACTGGAGGAGAACGAGGCTGCTCTCCCAAGTCAGTCAGCAGGTAGGTGAGCCAGCGTAACTCCTGTGCAGCCATGGCGGTGGCGTAGATCTCAGCCTCACAACTGGAGCCGAGAACTGAAGTCGAGCGTGTAGAACGCCACGAAACTGAACCAGAGCCAAGGCTGAAGGTGTAACCCTGTGACGACCGCTGAGTAGCCAGGTCGTCAACCCAAGAAGCGTCTGAGTGCCCAGTGAGGACAACTGGGCTTGTCCCTCCAAGCACTAGCCCCATGCCTGATGTGCTGCACAAGTAACGCAGTACCCTCTTAGCAGCAGCCATGTGCTCAGGTCGGTGCCGACCAGGAGCCACGTAGCGAGCCAGGAGACCAAGAGGGTACGCGAGGTCAGGTCGAGTGCAAGTCATCAGGTACATGAGGCAGCCGACTAGCTCTGGGTAAGGACCACTCGGCTCTACGGACTCGTCCGAAGGTGGAGCTGAGAGCGTGTGACCTGTAGCCAGAGGAGTGGCCTGTGCTGAAGACCAGGTGAAGCCGAAGCGCTGAAGGACCTGCTGCACCATGTGTGACTGAGTCAAGGTGATGGTGCGACGTGCTCTGTCTCGGGTGATCTGCAAGCCAAGGTAGCTGCGCAGCTCACCCAAGTCTGTGCACGTGTGTCTCTTCTGCAGCTCCGACTTCACGTGGGCGAGAGCCTCAGTGTCAGCAGTGGCAAAAACCAAGTCGTCGACATACACGAGGATGTAGAACGGCGGCAGGGAAGTGTCGGTGCGCAGAAACAGCGACGGGTCAGCAGTAGAAGGCGCAAACCCAAGAGCCGCAAGCGTAGTCCTCAGTGTGTCGTGCCACTCACGTGGCGCCTGGCGGAGACCGTAGACCGGCCGCCGGAGGCTCCACTGGGTACCAGGAGGGAACGACCCAGTGAAGCCCGGGGGGCGGCGCAGCCAGATCTCCTCGTGCAGGCTGCCCTGCAGGAAAGCTGTGCTGAAGTCAAGAGAGTGAAGCTCGTAGTCACGGTGAGCAGCAACGTGCAGCAGCACCCGAAGAGTGGTCATCTTCGGAGTGGGGGAGAAGGTCTGGAAGAAGTCAACTCCCTCTCGCTGACTGAAGCCTCGAGCCACGTAACGCGCCTTGAAGACAGGCGGAGAACCCGGCGGCCGCTTCACCCTGAAAATCCACATGCCACTGACGATGTTCGCCCCAGGTGGGGGAACCTCGTCAACGTAGGTGCCTGTGGACTTCCAGGAAGCCATCTCTGCGTCCATGGCTGCCTGCCACTGAGAGGAGTAGGGACCCTCTATCGCCTCTGCGTAAGAGCGCGGAGTCGGGATGTCTGGTGCATCCGGGTCTCCCTCAGGGGCAAGTAGCGAGGACACAAGATGAGGTAAAGCAGCAGCAAGGCACTGGAACTCCTCCTGCCTGTCCTCAAGGACGTCCGTGCTAAGAGCACACTCACCCCCGACGGACGGAGGACAGACAGACTCAGACTCAGTAACAAGACTGGCAGCGTAGTCTAGACAACAGGCAGCAGCAAAGTCAACAAGCTCAGCGACAAGAGCAGACGCAGCAGCAGACTCAAACGACGGGTCAGTGACAACTGTGGCTAGTAGACGCGTGACAGTAGGGTGCTGAGCACGAAACCGGTCAGACGCAGGGTCCGGAACGTCAGGCAAAGAGGACGCAGGAGGAGACGGCAGAGGAACAGGCTGCGGAACAGAGGAAGGACGACGGACTACGAGGTGCGCGCTGGGGACAGCCGGCGGACGCGAACGAGGAACACGAGGACCGGTACGACCAGGACGAGCAGGCGAGACAGGACGCGACGCAGGCTCACGACGCACAGCAGGACTACCAGTCAGCTCAGCGTAAGGAGAAGGAGCAGGCAGCGGTGAGCCAGTCTGTAACGGAAGACCAGTAGACGACGGAAGAGTAAGAACCTGACGAAGAACAGAGGCAGACGGCGGCAGAGACGACGGAGACGGCGGAGCGAAGAACAGTCGTGTCGGCGCAGCTGCACCAGAACCAGCAGCTCCAGCAGCTCCAGTGCCTCCAGCAGCTCCAGTACCTCCAGCAGCTCCAGTACCTCCAGCAGCTCCAGAAGCTCCAGGCCCAGAGCCGACACCTCGAGTCCCAGGGTCTCCAACCTCTGTGTCTCCAGCAGCAGCACCCCCAGAACCAGCACCTCCAGTCCCAGGGTCTCCAACCGCAGGGTCTCCAGCAGTAGCACCCCCAGAACCAGCACCTCCAGCTCCAGGGTCTCCAACCTCAGCGTCTCCAGCAGCAGCACCCCCAGAGCCAGCACCTCCAGTAGACAAAGGACCAGCACGACTCCGAGCTCCAGCAGCGCGACGCTGACGGCGACCGTACCAGTCCTGCAGCTGCTGTGGGGTGAGAGGCACACGGGGACGAAGGCGGCCACTCCAAGGAGACCGCGCAACAGCAGACTCAGAACCCTCAGCGCCCGCACCCCCAACGGCTCCAGAACCTCCGGTGTCAGTACCCTCAGCACCAGTACCTCCAGCGACTCCAGAACCTCCAGCGCGAGCACCCTCAACAGCTCCAGGACCTCCAGCTCCAGCGCCACCAGGACTAGGCCCTCCAGCAGCTCCTGAACC